ATTCTTCTTCAGGTAAAATTTCCACTCATCGTTTTGATCCATGGCGTCTCGCCGGCGAATGTTATTGAAGGTCATAATCCTCGGAGACAGCGGGTAAGCCTCTGTTGTATCTTTCAATTTAAATGTCATTTTGAATTTGGTCGACAAATGGGTGGTTGCATGAGCGATAAAGAAAAATGATTATTACAATTATTTTGTTTTCCTGGGGTGCATAATGTTATTGAATCCTCTGATATGGTTTGTTTTGGCAAGTTTGTGCTTGTTGCTCATTTGTGAGCAAAACTTAATCGAATTTGCTAGACTGCACCTTCTTATCGTTTGCGATTCCATTTGAATTGTGATAAAACAATGAGTAAATACTTGAAGATCCTGAAATTATAAGAACTTCTCATTGGAAACCAGTTTGTGTTTGGCTTATAAAATTTTGTTTGAGGAAATATCTTCTAGGATTTAGTGGATATATAATATCAGAAAAACGGTTTATTATATATCATTGGCGGTAAGGTGCTGCATACCGATGTTTTATAACTGACGACCTTAGTGGGATTCGATTGTTTGTTGAGGTAATCACCTCGCTTTCTTTGCTAATTGGGATTTCCTTGACTTTGGCAGGGTTGGTAAAACATCACTGATGAACCAGTATGCCCGAAACCCTTTTTCCTAACTGTTGGAAGTATTTGATTAGTATTCCTTTTATTTGAATTGTACTTGTATTGGTACGATCATTATTTGTTTTTGTATCTAGGTATGTGAATCGTAAGTTCAGCAATCAATATAAGGCCACCATTGGTGCTGATTTTCTCACCAAGGAAGTTCAATTTGAAGATAGGCTGTTCACATTGCAGGTGAGGAACATGGAAATGCAAATACCTTTTTGAATAACAATATGAGAAACTTTCTTGACTCAGTAGAATTTTTCTTGCTGGGAGCTTGCACAGTCTTGCAGGGTGAATGTGTCATTTGGGAAAAAATGTTACTATGCCCTTTAAGTTTATCTATTTGACTCAGCTTGTGGTCGTATGTTGAGTTAGTTCTTAAAAGTTAAAATTACTCTTTTTGATTCACTGCGTGTTTCTCAAGGAAAATTGTTTTCTCATTCAAAGTTAAACAACTATATGTTTGTGCTCTCAATGTTTCGACTTTTTCCTCCTTTGTTCACGTTCTTTTATCTTGCAATTGTTTGTGGAGCACCCACATTAGTGATTTACTAGTGATTGGCAGCTCTGCAGATAAGAATTTATTTGCATGACCTTTTCTATCCTTGTTGTAATACAAGCTTGAGGATGAAATCGTTTGGCTTGTCAATGGTCACAATTCTGGTATGATGAAATCAATGTTTCAAATATTGACTATTTTGTTTGATCTAGGATTCTTGGATGTATGTAACTTGGACTGTGTAATGTATTAATGACTTGTCGTATTCTGACCTATGATGTATTTTTAATCATATTTTGGAGTATGTAGAAAAAGAGACTATTGTATGAAGTTTTCTCACTGTTTGTCATCTGCATATAAAATTCCAAGATTGAGAATGTCTCTGTACGTGCAGATTTGGGATACTGCTGGTCAAGAGAGGTTTCAGAGTCTTGGTGTTGCTTTCTACCGCGGTGCAGACTGCTGTGTCCTTGTTTATGATGTAAATGTCATGAAATCTTTTGATAATCTCAACCACTGGCGTGAAGAATTTCTTATTCAGGTGGCTGCTAATCTTCGGGCTTCAGGATAGTGAGAAATTTAGCATAATTAAATTAACAATGAATGGTTCTGACGAGCAATTGATTTCGCAGGCTAGTCCATCTGACCCAGAAAACTTCCCATTTGTTGTCTTGGGAAACAAAATAGATGTTGATGGTGGTAATAGCCGAGTTGTAAGTTGCTTCTCCCTTCATGGCATGTTTGCTTCTTTTGATTCATGAAAATAGCCATATAACTAAGTTATCCGGATTGGATAGACCTCCTGATGGAGTTCTTAGAAGATTTGTAGCACTTTTTCTCCTCGGTTTTTGGAGAGTCTTGGTGGTTGTTGATTTTACTTGACTGCAATATCTTCCATATCTGTTGCAGGTTTCTGAGAAGAAAGCAAAGGCATGGTGTGCTTCCAAGGGAAACATACCATATTTTGAGACCTCTGCTAAAGAAGGATTTAATGTAGAGGCTGCTTTCCAGTGTATAGCCAAAAATGCACTCAAGAATGAACCTGAAGAAGAAGTGTGAGTATTTCTGATATTTGAATCTTTATGTTTTGCATGTGATTATTTTGTGACATGCGCATAACTTTACCATGGTTAAAAAATCAGACAGAGAACCAGTGAATCAGTCATGGTTTTATCACGCTAAAAACTGACTTGTCAAAAGATTAGCGAGAGTAAAACAACTAACAAAATGAGTAAAAAATCAGTTTTGATCTTCTTCATCTGATTACTGTTTTGGCATTCTGTAATGGAGTTTAATGATTTTTAGTGGACTCTACCCAACCCATTTCGTGTAGATTTATTATTATATGCAAAATGTTTTAATATCTGGTATCCAATTATTTAATATTTTGTATCTGCTAATGTATATGCAAAGTATGATATATATTTAAAAGAATGGTCCGTCCCCAGTTTCCTTGCCGTTGGACCATTGCATCCGTGTACTGGTCCTTATCCTAATTCAATAATGAGTCTGGTGTTTAGAAACATTGAACTTTACTATGGGAAGAATAATAAGAGTAAAGAGTAGGAGAAAGAGAAGAGTGAACAGGACATTTTTAAGTGAGGGATTTGTTCTCTTTGAAGTATACTTTCTTACTTTCAACTAGGTAATAAGGTATGACCAGTATATTTTTACCGGAACATTAATTGGTCTGAAGGTGCTGCATAATATCAGCTTTTCTGAGGGTGCTAGTTGAAGAACAAATAGCCATACTAATATGGCTATGATAAAGTGGAAATCATCAATTTGGTTTCTTCTCTGTAAATTATGCAAATGCTCCTAATATATGACTACAAAAATCCATTTTGTCAAAAGCCGTACCAATCTATGGCACGGTGTTGGCAAGGAGTTGGCATTTCCGCATTTAATTGCAAAAATGTGATGCCCATTTCTTTATGCCAATAAGTTAAGGATGTCAGGGTTCTAATCTTTTTTGGCCTGAAGACATCAGGGTTCAACTTTCATTTAATTGTTGAGTGATTTAATGGAGACTTTTATCTCCGTAGAACTCTAGCTTTCTCACTATCATACCAGAATTTTCCGGAGGGAGAAAGATTGGGGTGGATTTCACTTTTGTGGGATCTAGAAGGGTAGAGGTGGGACCTACATCAGCCGCTCCTGTCCTTTCGTTATTTTAGTTGAAGCGATATCTTAGAAGCTCTGGGTCGCACGTCGTCAAAAGCACTTTAATTCCCGCTCTTATGTTTTGATTATTAAAGTGAGAATCTGCAAGTGCATATAATGGCAAGAGAACTTAACCATTCAAAACAGTAGCACTCTGCATAAAATTACTCTCGACAGTTTTAATTTACTCATTATTGGGGTCCAACTTATTTGAAGATTTAAATGGATGTTCTAAATAATAGGGGTAGTGAATGCCATTGCTGGGTACTCGTTTTGATATGTTGTTGATGATTGTGACAGATACTTGCCTGATACAATTGATGTTGGCGTTGGTGGACGACAACAAAGGTCTACAGGCTGTGAATGTTGAATTGAGAGCTCTTGGACCTGCTCCCTCTACCTGCTTCCCTTGAATTTATTCAATCATTAGTCAGCTACATTGTTTACTGTGGAAAAATTTAGGACAAGTTACAATTTCTACTTTTGTGTTTTTAAATCATTAGTGATCTAAATTTTTGTGTTGTTCAGTTTTCTAGTATCAAACTTGATATTTGTACTAAATCCCTTCTCTACCACATTCCATCTATTTATATACCGAGAATTCTGTGGAGTTGGGCTTGCTTATTATAATAGATTCGAGTATATATGTTCCTAACTGGTGCTGAAGCAGGATGTTCCATATTGTCGTGTGCCTTTTTTTTTTTTTTTGAAAAAAAAAAAAAATTTCTTTTTCGCCTTTTGGTTGTTCATAATATTTTCTTTTTTTAAAAAAGAGTTCTTGACTGGAAACTGTTTGGTGAAAATGATAAGACTAAATTAATGGGAAATATTTGTTTAAAAAAAGGTTCTTAGGCGGAGATTGTTTAATAAAAATAATTAGACTAAATTATTGGAAAATACTACTGAAGTGGGAATATATTTTTAAAAGGATTAATTTAAATTTTGGTCCATCAAATTATTTCTTATTTTGGTTTTGGTCTCTCAAATTTTAAACTATAGGTTTTGATCTCTCAAATGGTAAAATAGTCTATATTTTTATTGAATTATAGGAACCATATTTTAAATGAAAAGAAACTTGAGAGACCAAAATCTCTTGTTTAAAATTTGAGGAATCAAAATCAAAATGAGAATAAATTTAAAGGACAAAAAATTATACTCCTCCGGTCCTTATTATAAGACCCCATTTGACTTTTTATTTGGTCCTAATTATAAGACCCCAATCCATTTTGTCTCTTATATTTATGCATTTTTTTCCAAGATAATCCTTCTAATAATGATGGTTTTAGTCAATATACTTAATTAGCAAGGATATTTTAGGAATGACAACACTTATTTATTATAAATAACCAACTTAACTTACTTCCTTAATCTCCTCAAATAAGTTAATTGGGTCTTATAATTAGGACCGGAGGAGTACTAATTCTTTTCAGAAGAATACTTCTTCCGACCTAACGGATGAAACATTGAGGAGAGCCTTCAGCCTTTCACAGAGGAACCAACTGGGTATTAAAAGAAGATGGCCCTTTGTGTATGGGCTGGATCAAGCTGGGTCCAATTTATTTTAGAGATCAAAACCCAGTAGGCCTAATGTATGCAGTCCAAGCCCAACATACAGCCCATGACATACACAGCACCGACCCGGATCGCCCTCATGACCGCACCGTCTTTTTCTGGAATGACCACACCGTCTTTGGAAAATCAAGGGTTTTCAGCAACGAGCTCTGATTATGGAATCTGCCCAAGAAAACGCCGGCCTGCTGCACCAAATCCTACCGCCACGGCTAGAAGATGCTGGTCTCGAAGAATGTGCTCTTCCACCGGAATCCATCAAAGAAGCCTTCTTCAAAGCCGCCTCCGCCGTGAAATTGCAAGCGAGCTCCGTTTTATTTGCTGACGACGAAGATAACGATGCAACTTGTGTCAAGGATCCTTGGCCCACCGCGAAGGATTCCTCCGACGTGATAATCGGAATCAAGCCAGAGAGCGAGCCAGAGGGACCCTGCGCTGTCGATAAGGGGAGTGAAGCTGGTGCTGACGAAGTTAAGATTGGTGGTGGTGACGAGGCTGATGAAGAGGAGTTGAGAGACAAGCTAATCGATGGGGAAGAGGGAGAGAAATTGGGAGAGGAGGGGAAAGCTTGTGTGGATGGTTTGAAAGGATTGGATATTGAAGGCGATAAAAAGAGCGGTGATGACGTTGATGAGGAAGAGAAAGAGAAGGAAGGTAAAAGACCAACTCTGGTTGAAGGTTTTGTTTGAAATCCGTGATCTTAGTTTGTTCTTGGTCTGTATACTTCCCACTTCAATGTGATGCATAACTGTAAGTTTCAAATTTCACTTTTGATGAGGAAGCAGTGTATTTCTGGGTTCTGAATCCTGCGTTGTACAAAATACAAAGGAGTTGGTTATGCAATGTAATAGTTTTTCTCTAAAGTGCCTGTGATTTTTAAGTTCAAGATAAACCCTCTAATTTTCATGATTATTATCAACGGAAGAGTTTCTTCTGTGATTGAGGTAGGCTGGTAAGAATCCCATAACTTGTTGATGAATCGAGAGAGTGGGTACTAAATCCCAGTTCTGTTAAGGCTATTACAGAATAATATTTACTGTCCTAAGAGGTGTCCCTTTCACTACTTTTACTCCATGTTTTGGTACGGGATTTTTGTTGGGGACTCTCCTTCCTTGTTTGGCTGGTGTAATTTTTTAGAAGGGAAGGGGAGCCCTCCCTTTCTCTCGTTTGGTTAAGATGTTTTTTAAAGAGGGGAGGGATTTTTCTCTCCTCCCCTTCCTTTCTAGCCTCCCCTCCAAAAGTGGGGGTTTTTGGAGGGGAGATGAGAGATAACATTTCAATTCTTTATATACCCTTTTGATTTGTTAACCTCTAATCAGTCGTAAACATTTCTACATAAGAGAGTTTTTTTGAGCATTTAACAAGAGGTTATTAAGATAATTGTCTTTAAAATTAGTGAGCATTTGTAAACTTTTTTTTTTCTCTTCTTCTAATTCCAAGAGGTTGATGGTATTTTCTTTCACTTTCAAGGTCTTTTCTCTGATTGAAATCTATCACTCGTGACTTTTTATCTTGATATTCTATAAATGTGTGACTATGTCTTGTAAATCAAAATTGGTGAATTGTATTATATATATAGTTATATCTTAACAAAATAAAAAAGTGAGAAAATTCATTTAAATTTTATGAGGCTAAAATAGTTAATTTTTTATTAGAACAAAATAAGGTATTATTAAAATTGCTCCCTCCCCTCCCTTTCAATCAATCCAAACAGGAGATCATTAAAATCCCTCCCCTTCCTTCCCCCTCCCTCCCCTCCCCTCCCCTCCCCTTTGTAACTACCCTCCCCTCCCCTCCCCTTGATTAAAATCCCTCCCCTCCCCTTCCCTCTATCGAGCCAAACACAGCATTAAACGCCGTGTTATTTAATTCTCATATAAAACTTGACACACAGAAACTTCCACACTGCTTCTAAATCACTTCTAATTTGAAATCTCTTTCCTTTTGGTAAAGATTTGTGGAAAAAGAAAAATAAGATGGTTGAATCCCGCATAAGTACGAGACGATACGTAGAAACTCTCCCCTTTTGTCCTGATGGTTTATTGATGAAAAATGAGACAATGGATTAATTTATTAGATTCAATTTTGAGAAATCAGCCTTCCAATATTTCGTCACATCGTTACAAGAACGCAAAATGGTTCAAGCCTAAGGCCACTTATATGGACTTCGACAGAAGCTAGATGATAATGACATCGTATTAACGCTCAGTTCTTAAATATATGTATTCTTGAAACAGTCTAGCTTCTGCATTTTGGCAATAAGCTAATTCTTACAATAGATTGAATGTTACATCGGACCTAATCACACAGAACTCAGGGTGAAAAGGGAAAAAAAAAATTTTTTTTTAAAAAAAAAAGACTTAAGCAAGAGCCTTAAATTGTCTAAGTAAATTTCCATCATTTCCTCCTTTTGCTTGAGTTTTTCATGCAACTACTTCCCCCTTTTTGAGGGAAACTTCCTCGTACAAAAATATTTGCTATCTTCTATAATTCATCCTTGACGGTTTGATCCTTGACTTTTAAATGCTTGTTGATGGATGCAGCCAATTCTTTCAAACTAGATTTTGTAGAAAGTTTAATCTGCAGAAAAGAACAGAATTATTTTAAGTCACAGATCTTCAATTCATGAACAAAAATTCTAACTCTAATAAACGAAATAATTACCGGCTTGGTCTTATCACTCGCTTTGTAAAGTAAGAGTGTTGGATAATCATTCACCTAACATGCCAAACAAATGAACAATCCATTTTCGGTAAAGATAGCCTTTGCATTGTATTAATCATCTGTCTTAGATCAAAACGAATTGCCCAACCAGCATTGTAGATTTCCATCAGAAGTTCTTCATTGTCTTTTCATGTCATCAAATAAACTGAGAACAAAAGAAGTTTTGTTGATACTTACCTGCAGTTTTGGGTGTTCATTAGCGGAAGCATCTATTCTTGCAAAAATTAGATTACTTGATCCTTTGTAGTGCTTAGCCAACTTCTCTACGTGTTTGGTTGTGGTCTCACATTTGATGCACCAAGGGGTAAATACCTATTTTACAGTCATAATAAGTGAGTACAAGTTCCATCAAGAAGCCGATTAGTACGGGCCTTATTATATTGTGGGGAAACCAAAACTCTTAAGAATTCTGAATTTTTGACCATCAAATTGAAAGTCCTGTTCTTATTGAGCATCAAGTCAGGCATATAACTTAGCACATCAAAGAATAGGGTAGTTGGTTTCATCAGCACCAGTAGAATTGCATGAGTTAAAAGTCACATATGGCTTACAGAAAATGACACCTCTTAGTTTACAGCAAGTATTTACTTTTTCTTGTTTTCTGAAAACATCTGAAGCTTAATCATAAGTAGAGAGTATAAGTATGAGGGTAAGACTTTGCAAACCTCTAGAAGCACACTTTTGTCACTGCTCAGAACTATGTCATCAAAAGTTTTCCCCACAACAGCATGGACGCTAGCGTTTGTCTGCAATTTTCAACAGCATGGGCAAGGAGATTAGTTAAAGAGATCGACCCAGAGTAAGTCTTGGGATAAAACTGACCAAGTTTTCAATACGCTTAATATTTATAATCACAGGAATAGAAACATTTTACATACAACACAAGGAACACCCTTATTTGTTTAAAGGAACTACAAGGTTATAAATGATGTTAATTGCTTCACTAACGCACCCGAATTGTTTATAAAACAAAACTAGGAAGGACAAATGAGATGCAGATAGAAAATCATCTAATAAACGTACGTTATCTGGTATTGGCTGTGATTTGAAGTAGAGTGACAGAGAACCATCCACAAGTTTGTTGCAGAACTCCTGAGAAGAGACAAGAGAAAGAAGGGGAAGCCATTTTGGCATGTAGCTTAGGCTCCCTAGAAGTTAATCATGGAAAGGAAAAATCATATTGACAGAAACTTACTTCAATATTGCTTCTCGTTGGTTTTGATTCCAACAAAAATTTTGAAGTCCCTCCATTTTCAAATGCAGCAATCTATCGGGCACATGAGAAACAAATTGCATAAATTTTAAGTCGCTAGAGCATACCTAAAACAGTATTCCCAACAAATACTTGTTTTCAACATGCAAACTAACCACTGTTTGTTTTGATTCTTCTAGACCAAGCAACGTTAGGAAGGGCTTAGCAAGATTCTCATTGTTAATATCCACATGTATAAACATGACCTGCATTTGGAAGACAAATTAGACACCAAAAGATTCATAACCAAGATGAAGGAAATTGTTTCAGGATTCAAATATGGGTCAGAGCAATTACCTTTGACTTGAAAGTCCTTGCAACATCTTGAAGAGGCTCAAGAAGATTCTTGAAGTCATCAATGTCCGAGAAGACATAAACCTAGACAATAACAGAAACTAAGTTTGACTCTTCTTAAGCTTGGACAACAATATTGTGATTAAATATAACAAGCTGCATCCAATACAGACTCCGCCGAAATGAAGTTACTATGCGTCAGCTGCAGCACTATACAGATGCATTGGTAAATGTTTCATAAAAGTTTCACCACATCCCTGAGTGCCTCAAAATTTTCCTAAACTTCACTGTAGGCATTTATCCAGATGTTAAGAGACTTCTTGAACTTTGAGGGGAATAAACAATTTTGATCTGTATTTGGTTGTTCAGACTAATCTTGCTTCTAAGAAGTTCGTCCCAACAAGTTATCAAAATTGCATTCATCCTTTTCACCCACTGTTAGAATCCTTTATTACCTATCAAGCATCCTAAGGCCAAATCCGTAGCAACAAATTAACATGAGAATTTTCTATTTTCACGGGGGCAAATAGCTCTCGTCTACTTTTTGCATTGTTATTTAGGCTACGTTTTCCTTTCTATTAATGTCTCTATTCTTATATGGAACTAAGAAGACAAAATTTGTTTGCATCTTGGGGTCTTGAGTTGTTCAATTTATTGCTCCAACTAGTATGCTACATGCTCACAGATTAATTTAGAGAAAAGGTAGCCAAAACATAAAAATAGAGGCAGCTTCACTGGCTACCAGTCAGCAAAGAAAATTCACTTGCAAAAGAACCTGAAAGAGATTATAATAGCTAATTATCATGATAGTTGAAGGCAAAAAATCTTAGTCCATATGTAATGCAATGTCCAAATAATGGAGTGCTTAATATCATATGAAAATTGCATTACATGACTATCAACATGAAATTCTAGCGAAAAGAAGAAAATGCCCAAAATCGAATGTGAAAAAAAAAAACGAAAAAATGATGAAAAAATCCATGTTAAAAGGGAATTTAATGATAATTGCAACCTGAAGCTTGACTGGGCTCGAGTAGATTCTCATAGAATTCATCTCTGTCAGTTTTGTAACTAATGGAAACTTATTGTAGTCCAAAAACTCCAATATTTTGTCCACGCTGAAGGTTCCATCTACAGAGTTAGAATGCCTCACTGTTAAAGTAAGTTCTGAAGAATAACTCGCAGCAAAAATTGCAAGCATTAAATATCTAGTACTTCTGATTCTCAATATAAGAGCTAGTTTAACATTCAATTTAGTTCTAAATATAAATCCCAATCCACTTTGTCTCTCATATTTATCTATTTTTTCCCAAAACAATCCTTATAATAATTGTACATGTTAAATGTTTCATCCAATAATAGTTTTAACTAATACACATAATTAACAAGAGTATTATAGAGAAGACAACGCCTATTTATTACAAATAACTAACTTAACTAATTTTCTTAATCTATTTAAATTAGTCAACTAGCTTATATTAAGGACTAGAGGTAGCATATGCTTCTCAAGAGAACCAGAATATCTGCGCTTCTACTTTTTTATGCAAAGACACCAGAACCAATTTGGAAAACAATCATTGAAACCATTACAAACTCACCATATGCGGTATATCTTTCAGGCTCACTTTTAACAATGCCAAGAAAAAGATCAGAATGTTTGAGATCTGGAAAAAGTACTTTGGCTAGCTCGGCCTTATTCACTTCAACAAACTGGGTTTCATTATCAGACTTCGCAGCTTTCACAAATTCTTCATAGTGAGGTCCCTGAGATTTTTAATAAAAAAGATTAATTATTGCAGTACAGCAATTTTTTTTTTTTGGGTGAAAGAAAAACAGCTTCTTCTGATCGACACACTGAGCCAACAATAAAATGATACGAGGCTCCATATGATATGGAAAATCCATGAAATGACTAAATATAAGGATTAACGATATAATACTAGTTCTTTATTAGTTTATTTGCATCAGCAAAACAACTATTAATTAGACTAGAAGCCATCAAAATTTAAATTCCATAGCTGATGTTGACCAAAGAAAATGTGAAGAAATAAACACCACTAAATTCATCCTGCATATATTTAAATGATACGGTAAGCTATTGCATCTACAAGCAACAAGAAAAATAGAAAAATAATTGAATGTAGACCATGAAAACATCCTCAGTGCAACCTAGGGCTATTCTGTTTGCAGAATGAAAAGGAATGGAAAAGGGAACAGAATGTAAAATGTAACTTTTTTAATGTGAAATGTCAAATGTGTCCTAGATTAAAATTAACAGTAAAAAGAAATAATTGTTATTCCTCCGGTCCTTAATATAAGACACATTTAACTAATTTAATTAGATTAAGAAAGTTAGATAAGTTAGTTAATCATAAAAAATATGACACTTTTTCCTAAAATACTATAATCATCTATCTTAATACCCCCTCTTCCTCTTCTACTTGATTATGGTTGAGGGAGTATCCATAGGGGTAATTTAGAGAAAATTGATAAATATGAAAAATAGGTCTTATATTTATGACCAAAACCAATTCAACAATTGGGTTCTATATTAAGGACCGGAGGAGTATTACGTAATAATTGCAAGGATATAATTCATATTTTACATCTTGCTTGTCATGCAACGGAGAAGGCTTCCTTCCTTAGTGCTAACCAAACAGGGCCCTAGAGAAGCAACCCAACAACAACAGTTAGAGACCATGTGAATACAAAATTTTGGCATTTCTTTGTCATCTTCGTTCATTTTTCACCCTTTATGATCTGAATCTTTTCCCGCTCAACCCAGGCAAAACTGTAATTTAACTTCTTTCCCTTTTTTTGCTTGCTCCTATTATTTACAATATAGAAATAACCAACAGATTTGGTCCTCATGGACATGGTAAGCCCATGAAGATTTTATTGGAGTTCCCGAACTCAACTGCTAGTTCAAGCAAAAGATATAGAAATGACAGAGTAACTCATATAAATGATTAATGCGGTATTAGAAATACTAGCCAAGTTATTCCCATTCTTGGAGCAAACAAGATTTACAATATTTCATTGGTTATTACTAAGTTGAATAAATTATTCAATTATATACAATTTTCAATTACTTTATCCTCTTCTTAATCAGTGTCACTAATCTGTTAGCCTCAGAATACTTCATAAATTGTTGGCAAAAAAAAAAAAAAGAATACTTCATAAATTGTTTCACTTACCTCAAATTTATCAAACAGACCAATAACAAATGCATGATACTTCTTCAGAAATTCTTCCGCCTCTGCCACAGAACTTATTCTAATAACAGGTGTGCCAGTCTTCTTTCTCGTCCATAACACTATATCATCCCTGAAAGCATCACCAAAAAATCACTAGATATATATTTTGAGTTATACAAGCAATTTGATTGACCAATAATTATGTGTGTGTGCGTGCGCTTTGAGAATATCATTCCGCATAAATTGACCAGTCTACATTGGAGAAGCTTCTAGATGATTATGATTGTGTAATTCAGAATAAAGACCTGTATGGACACACCAATTTGAAACATTGGGGGGGGGGGGATACTAGATACACATTTCAAGCGGCATAAGTAATTTGATAGGCCAAGCAATATATAGTTATTAATGCTTTGAGAACATCATTCCAGATGAATTGATCAGTCCGCATGGCAGATAACAGGTATAATAAACCACAAAGATACCGGGCTGATATTTCCAGCACAGCCTATTATTACAATGGTATAATTAAGAACAAAGACCTGACTGAAATATGCAGATCCAGAGCTTAAAAACATGTAGTTTCAGTTAGCTTATTTAAGTGACAAGGTTAGTATCTTGCACAGTAAAACCACCGGAGTACAAGTGGGAATGACCAATGGCAAAGAGAAGCCATGCATCCCAGGCATATTTTCCCAACCCAAATCACTCTTAAAAATATATAATTCATCATTCATAATAAAAATAAAACCTGTTTATACACCTAACCATCGAAATATGCAGATTCAAAGTTCACGAACACAATGGGTACAGCAAGCTTATAATGATAAAATTAACATCTTGTCCTGTAACACTCCGGGAAGAGGCATTGACACAGGAAGCAGACATAAATTTTCTAAATTGGTTAAGCTTAAAGATTACATAAAGCGCACAGATACCAGGCAAAAACCTTCAGAACAAACCATAGTTAAAAGGGTTAAATCCAGAATAAAGACTTGTCTGTACAGCTAACTAACTGAAATTAGCAGACCCTGTGTTTAGGGGAGATATTGATACAATGAGCCTAACTTAAATGATAAGGCAAGCATCTTACGTTGTGAAACCACCAGAGTACAGTTGGGAGCTGCCATTGACAAACAGAAGCATAGTGGGAAAACCTTTGATCCCAAGGAACGAAGCAGACTTGGGATACCTATCAGCATCAAGCTTCGCCATTTGAAGAGGGCTTCCCGATTCCTTCAGTGAAGTCGCAGCCTCTGCAAACTGGGGCATTAACTCAGCACTCCTAGGACACCAAGGCGCATAGCCCAGAACCAGGACGAACTCAAATCCATCAATAACCCTCTTGGTGTTGTCATTGTTGAGCTCAATAACGATTCTTTGAGCCTTGGTTAAAACGTCTGCTTCCGACGACTTCACTCCATTACCCCCTTCTGCTTCCTTCTCTACTTCCTCGTCCACTGCTAGTAATTCTTCAATGCCCTCTAAATCTTCGGTGTCCTCGGCATCTGGGGCAACCTCGGAGGCCTTTACAACATCGTTGAAACTTAGTACGAGGAGGATGGTGACAGCCAAATAGATGAGTTTTAAAGTGGGTTTCTTGGTAATCATACTGCTAATCCAATATTGATGATCGAAGAAGATATGAGACCAGAATATATATGGGGTTTCGCGACTTTTTGTGAAGATCTAGTTCTTAACAGTAGAGCAGTGTGAAATGAGGACAGAAATGAAGCCCTGACGTTTGCAGAGTGATAGTAAAGAAAGGAAACGTGGGCATGTCGCACGAACTTTAAACACGCCGAGATTTCAGGGCCCCGATGGAATAAGATGTGGGGGAGTGATCCGTTGAGCCGGTTGAGGAAGTAGACGGGTGCCACTATCTTTGACCGACCGACCATGATTATAAATTTACGATGAATTAATGAGCACTTAAGCACAAATGACAATATGCTTTTTTCCCATCAAAAAGGCAAAAGCGCAATTTATTTTTAATTTTGCACCAAATTTTATTTTAATTTTATAAAATATCTTTTAAAAACCTATTAACGTTAATTTCATTAATAAAAATATCAATATTAAAATTTTAAATGTTGATAAATTATTATTCTTTTTAATGTTCAAGAATTTTTATAATTAAAAGAATACAAGTAAGATGTATTTTTTGTTTCTTTAATTCTTTTTCAAATTTAAAAAAATGAAAATTTTATATCAAAAGGTTTGATAAAGTGGTCATGATGCTTGACAAAATTGAGAAAATAAATTACATAATTCTTTAACTTGATGAAATTTTTCTCATTTTAATTTTGATTTTGACTGGATGAACATTCTTAATAATAAGTATCATTAGCAGAAAATTAGAAGGAAAAATGCTTTTACCTTTGCAAATAATGAATTTTCCAATTATTGGATTATCATGTCAAAATAGACTATACGGTCATTTATCTTTCCTTTTTTTAGGGGGCTGTTTGCTACTAACAAGGTATTCCTCTAAAGATTCAGTATTATTTATTCAACAGATATTTTATTCCATGTGATTAATGAGGTAGATCATAACTTGATGCTCTCAAAATTACTTGAAAATTTACTTGAAACTAGACAAGAGTCACGCATTGCACAAACTATGAGTAAATTATCCATAACTTATAAAATGAACGCCTTCATAAAATACTCAATTTTGGGTCAGCTTTTTAATCCAGACAAATATTGAGAATTGACGTGAATCCAAATTCAACTAACTCATGGTTTTTTTTTAGCTGCAAATTTTGTTGTATTTCTGCACACGTACAACATATTCACATTTACACGCATGCATTTGCACAAAGCTCACAAGAATAAATTAACATCAACAAACAGAGAAAACAGAGGAAGGCCAAGCATTTTCTGTATCCACATTGTAGCTTCTTCCCCTGTAAATAAGCTTCACCGTCATTTATATATATATGCGCATGAATTCTTCTTGAACTTGATTGGTTTTGATGTGGAAGAATCAATTATGAGAGGGCAAGTTATTTCCTTGTGGTTCTTGGCCCTTACCAGTTTGCCCACCACATTTCCCACTGAAAGGATTTCAAATTTCAATGTCAATGAAACTTCAACACCGGTTTGGGATTGTTTTATTGTTGAACCAGCCCCATATAGAGGAACCTTGTTGCCTTCCAAGTTCACTGATACTACTCGGTGGCTCTTTCTTGGCTGATAGTGTTTCTTAAGCTGCACAAATCAAACGCATAAATGATGGTCATGCTTATGAATTTGGATTCCTTTCTCTCTTTTTTTCTCTTTTATACAATTTAAGCACACACACACACAAATATGTCAATGTCAAACTTGAGTTTGAAACCTCATCCAAATATGACAGGTGACGCTGTCACTAGGACAACTTGCTGTTGATAAATGGATTCATAATTAATTAAGTGGTAAAGCAAATTTTTAACATTCAAATCTTAGAGACAATCTTGTACTAGGCTAAGCTAAGTTAATGTGAATTCTTAGTAAGTTTTTGAAGTAAATATTGCAAAAAAATCAAATCATACAATATAATCATAGATGAAATCAAGTTAAATTGAGCCCAACCGTGCATGTTTCTATGTTGCATTACTGATTATGTTATTTCATATGGTAAAATCCAAAGTCAAGTCAATTCAATTCAGCTTGATCACCTTTGACGTTTGCATGCATTCCCACACATGTAAATGCCAAAACAAACACACTTTTAAGTTTAGCGTTATATAAAAGCTCTAATGAACGTTTAATGCCTTTTAAATATTAGATTTAGGATAAGGCCCAAAGCCAACCCTCTTACAGAAAAAGTTTAGGAATAAACTGAGAGTTTAAGCTACTAATTTGAGCAAAGTACGCTTATGAACTGAGCTTTAAGTCATGAGCACTTGAAGTGAAGATGAATGGGTTATTACCTGACCAGAAGCAACAATGATGTCGGAGAATACAAGGTTGATGGGCTTGGAGTGTACATGGATGCCAAAAAAAGTGGCAGGGTTATATATGTTCATTCTCAATGTGCCATTCACAGTCATCAACTTTGTTGGCACACCTGAGAAGTCTGATCCCTCTCCCACATACAGATTTTGTACTTTGAAGCTCTGCAAGAATCACCATATCAAAAAAGCACAATATAATGACTTTACACAGTAACAATTTATTTGCTTAATCACTTGAGACAAGTAGCTTTAATACTTTTAAACATTAGTCTAATTTCCAATGTGATGTGACACAATTTGTTAAATCGAAACAGACATTAACGTTTAACCTAGAAGCCAAACATACTGATATTCTTTGTTCAATTTATTGCATATACTACTGTGTCCTCATTACCACTGTTGTTCTGCATTTGACATGGATAGGTTTGTCTTTTTGGTTTTCTCATTTTTCTATGTCGTTATGTATACTAAAACGTGACGACTGACGAGAAACCATATCAAGCAATCCTAAAATCCTTCAGAATGACTGCATCATTTCATTCCAAACATAAGAAGTCAACAACATAGACTATGAAAATAGACGAACATTAGGCCCCAAAACAATCCAACATAGCAGAAACAACCAATTCACATTTGACTGGGAGAATAACAGAAAAGAGTAACAAGAATTTTTACGAAACACCTAAGCTTAGCTTACCTTGACTGTAATTTCTGGCTTGAAAGGCCTGCTAGCACCCCAAATGATCAAGCAAAACACAGTGAAGAGAACCACAAAACTCAAGATACCAATAAATACTTGGCAACTCTTGATGAAAGCTTGTTCTCCATCATAAGACCCTTCTTCTAAAATCACATCACACTCAGGCCAGCCTTTCTCGTTCCTCCTTCTGTTACTATTACCCTTCCTTCCTGAAAATGACCTGAAAATACCAGAAAACCTGCTTGCTGAAGAATTCCTCGAATGGCGTCCAAATAATGAAGGATGTGAAGGTGACTCCATAGGGCTGTTCGATATTGGAGTCGCTTGCATCGATGATGACTTGTATCCATCGTGAGAGTCCCTTGAAGGGCTCTGTACGTAGTACACTGGTCGCTTTGGAGACCTCGAAGGTGAAGATGGAGCTAAGCTCGTGGTGTCCGATTCAGATTTTGCAGAAAGCATCATGGGTATGTATGGAATCCTTACAAGAAGATAAACTTTGAAACTTTATGAGAATTCAAAAGTACCCAGGAAAAAAAAAAGGTCTGTCAAAAATCTCAGTTCATATTTTCTATACTACTGCTTCTAGACTATCCTTAAAATGAAGCAGATTTTGCAGAGACGGATGACTTTGAACTAGAGGAGAATTCAGAGCTGCCTAGAAAATGTTGGGTGCTGAAACTGTATTAGAGGACAATCTTGAGAACTTGTGCCCCTTAGTTCTGAGAGAAGAGAACCACAGAAAAGGAGGGTGGGCTGTGTTTTAACCAGCAAAATGAGAATGTAAAGCACCCAAAAAGTGAAAAAACATATAAGATGCCAAGTTCCAACAAAGATAATGGTATTCCAAAAGAGCTGGTTTGATGAGGAAAAAGCACGCTATGTTTAGTGTGTGCGCGCGCGCGCGTTATAGCATAGTGATAGTGGCTGGAACCACACCTATGGCTATAAGCATACATTAATAGAGTAGGTTCAAGGATTGCATGTCGGCAGAGTTGTCATAGTTGGGGAAAAGATCGCAATATATAACAATGTAACCTTACATCGCATCTTATTATTGAGGACACAACAAAGAAAATTAATGGTTGGACGTCTTTATATATTCCATCAACTTGACAAGCTATCCAATTAGATTCTGGGTGTTCATGTCCTTGTCCCTGATAGCCAACATTTCATTTTATTCATACACCACAAAAATTTCTGGGTACACCAACTGCGTCAATAGTTCAACATCCCCAAATATATCATATTTGACTTTGTGGAAGGGCTTGGTTTTGTTGTTCCTTTTTTCACCCCTTCACGAGGATGCATGAAATTACGGCAATGGCATGGCACAGATATGATTTTCCGCAATTTAGGATGCCAACCAGTGCCTTTTAACGTCTTGAAGATGATAATATACTACCTCCGTCTTTAATATAAGACTCTGTTTGATTTTATTCTAATTTTAAATATAAGACCCAAATCCACTGTGTCTCTCATATTTATACATTTTTTTTCAAAGTAATCTTTCTAATAATAATAGTTCTAATCAATATACTTGATTAGTAAGGATATTTTAAAAAAAAACAACACATATTTAGGACAAATAACTAACTTAACTTACTTCCTTAATTTCTTCAAATTCGTCAGTTGGCTCTTATAATTGAGACCGGAGGTAGTACCAAACAATCAAAATTTAGTGTATAAAACATTTCTTGAATTTTAAGTTTGGCTCCTCAAATAAAGACTACCTTATCCATGATGAGCTTTTTAAGGTCACTCTTAAACTTACGGGTGCTACTTGCTGGAAAGCAACCTTCATGTGAGTGGTGAGAAAATTTTCAGAACAGGGAAAATTCGGAAAAGGTTGATGCGAAAATTTCAAGCCGATCATGATGGTTCAAAATATTTGGAGCAAATTGGATGTAAGATTGGGCCTCAACTCAGATCGTCCACAGAAGTTAGCTAGCCCGTACTCATAGTAAAGCCCATTGACTCCTCTTACATGCAGATCCACAACACAATTTAAAGAAACCCAAAAAAATAGCCCAAATACAAGTAAGGGGGAAAAAAATTGCGGAAAGCCTTCTCTACATATCAGAGCCAGGTTTCGATCCTGGGACCTGTGGGTTATGGGCCCACCACGCTTCCGCTGCGCCACTCTGATTGTTGAAATGCATTTCTCATATTTGCGTATTTGACAGTAACCGTAGCTTGGCACGACTGGTATTATTATTGGAATTCTATTCGAGAAAATGATATCTGTCCCTATTGCAGGAGATATTCCCATTTTTAGGTAGGGTTCTTCACAAGGTTACTTTTATTCTCATTCTCCTTCCATCCTAAGTTGAGCTCATCTCCTGCAAAAAAAAATTTTAATTTTAAAGAGCAAAAAAATAAAAAGGGAGTGAATATGATCCGAAACAGGTTGAGCATGGGGGAATGAAAGAAAAATGAAAAAGGGAGATATGTGGGGTCCACAGAGTATGGTGAGGGAGGGGGCATACGTGGGATAAGAAAGGATATGGTGTGGAAGGCTTATCTGTTCCCATTGTTGAAATTAGTTTACTTTGTCAAAGGCACCCATGATATTCAAATTTCAAAAAAAACTCATAATTAATTGCTTTGAAACTGAGCTTTGTATCTGAATATGATTGTTTACTTGTGCTTGCTTTAACAATAAGATTCTTCGGCGTTAATCAGAGATGTATCAGACCGACACATTTGGCCTTCACCGTCTCGTGTCTCAGACAGACTCAGAGGATGCTGCGTTAATTACTAGTCAGCATAACACGGCAAGGCAACCTAAATATGGAGATAGATAGAAGAAATTGACGTGGATACAAATCCTCGCCAACCTGGATAGTGCCTCCCATCATTATTTGTTTATATTCTTCTTTTGTCTTTCTCCAGTTTTTGCTCTTTTTCACTTTATCTTTTTGCATACGTCTTCCTCAGGCTAAAAATCGTAGCTTGACTATATTTTCAAGCCCTTTATCTTCATTTTTTTTTTTTTTTTTTTCTAAGCATTTATTTGCCAATCTTCTGCTCTTCTTCCAAGTGATTAATAGGAAAATGGCATATAAACTGAGTTTACAATTACATGCATTTGCTCATTATACTACTTGTTCTTTCTTGTAATTTTGCAGTCTCATTCAAGCATGTTAGGCACATATTGATTCTAGTTTTGTCGCCTTCTAAATTTGAGCTCTTCAGCCTGTTGCCTTTTTTTTGGGTAATTGTTTTTCTTAAATTTATTGAAGAAAGATAATAGAGCTTTTATAACAACAATTCAGCTAGTAGCTTCAATTTATGAGTTGTATAAAATACTAAAGTGAGAATCTATACCTACTTTATTTATAAAAGTACTACAGTTTATTTTTGAGACAATATACAGCACAGTATTTCTGAAAATAATATCTATTTCGATATAAATATATAAGTCTTTATTTCCATCGGGGGAAAAAAATCCCATTAAGAGATCTTTTTCCCCAATGTGAGTACGAAAAAGGGAAATTCAGTGAAGTGGCGGAGGCAGAAATTGGAAAGGCAGATAAATTCAGGGAATAGATGATGCGAGAGGGAACTCTCTGTCCTGTTCCTATATAAAGCCTTATGTCTTCCTCGTTGCTAGAGCTTGAGATCCTTGTGGTTGGCCAAAAGTAAAGGAAGAGGAGAGAGAGAGAGCTTGAGATCCTTCTGGATTCTGCAGGTAGGCCGTGAGGTGTATCAGGGGAAGAAATGTTGGAAGGTAAAGCCTTGATAGAGGACACAGACATGCCTGTGAAGATGCAGATCCAAGCCATGGCTTCTGCTTCTGAGGCTCTGGATCTCTTTGATGTTGTTGATTGCAAATCCATCGCTGCCCATATCAAAAGGTATTAACTTTCTCTTTCTCTTCTCTGTCTTTTTCTGAACCTGAAGAATTTGATAAAATTATTGTGTTTTGTGAGTTGCAGGAGTTTGATGCCAGATTTGGGTGTGGATGGCAGTGCGTGGTGGGTTCCAGTTTTGGGTGTTTCTTCACTCATTCACAGGGAACTTTCATTTACTTCACACTGGAGACTCTCAATTTCCTCATCTTCAAAGGAGCTTCTTCTTTCCCTTTCTGAAAATGACCTAAGCTTGCGTTTCCTTGTTAAAAAGGTTCCATCAAATTACCTGAGAAAAAGTGCTGTTCTTTTTCTTGTCTTTTCTTCCCCACCCCCTTTTTCTCTTCCCTATGTTGAGGGAAAACTTATGCTGAGGAAAATCTCAGAGGAAGAGGGCAGAAGCACCAACTTTTCCTGCGATTGGGATCTTAATGGTTTGAAGTATGAGATGAAGTTGCAGTGTCCGTTTGTACATATAAATTAGTGCTTAGCCCAGTACATATTTTCTTCTCCAGATCATTCATTCTTCATGTTCCTTTTTTCTCTGGTTCATGCTTTGATTGATTATGGTACCCTTATCCCGTTTCCTGGACATGATCTGTTTTGTGGGTCGCCTTTGGTTGCTCAGTCAACATTATCTAGAAGAGTATCAGAAGGGGGGAGAAAAAGAAAAAAATGCCCATTATCACCGTAAATGAATAAACAATGTTAGTGGGTCTGACAGCGGATGTTATCATAATCATAATTATTTTGTGTTTAAGAAAATAAAATTAATTTGTATTACACACTGAAATATTTTAAAAGAACTGAATGTGATATTTGAAAATAAATATACATCCAACATGCATGCATGGCTAACGACATTATATGTAACTGACAGTGTAACTCAATTTTTCAATTTTTTTTTTTCCAAATTTTAAATGGACGCAAGGATTGCATTAGTTTCGTATTATTCTTGTCTTTCCGGCAGAGGATCATCACTGTTAGAATCAATATTAGGTAAATCAGATACGATAAGATCTGCGATTTGATTGCATCACACCAATTTATTGCATACAAGAAAAGCAGAGAAGTGAACTTGGTTTCGCTTGAGAAGATACAACAAATACTAGAAATAATGATCTCAATTAGATGTAACCTCTTCTACAAATCTATGATGAGCACAAATTAAACCAATGGAGTTAACAGTGGCTTGCCCTGGAAGTACGCCTCTAGATTTCCAAGGACAAGGTCAGCCATGGCAGTGCGAGTTTCAACAGTGGCGCTTCCAATATGAGGTAATAACACGACGTTTTCTAGCCCAAACAACTCTTCTGGTACGTTAGGTTCATCTTCAAACACGTCTAGTCCGGCACCACCCACTCTGCCTTCAAGAAGTGCAGAGACCAGTTCTGGTTCATCAACATGCTTACCTCGACCAATGTTAATAAGAATACCCTTGGGACCAAGAGCGTTGAGCACCTCGCGGTTGATTATATGATAGGTTTCCTCTGTAAGAGGACAGGCAACAACCAGAATATTACAGTTGGATGCTAACTCTACAACGCTTGGATAGTACTTGTAATTTGAGCCTGATTTCTCTGTTCTAGAGTAGTAGCTTATTTTACAGTTAAATCCTTCAGCTCTCTGGGCTACAGCCTGGCCAATCCTTCCCAAACCAATAATCCCAACTGTTTTCCCGGAGAACTGCAAGGGGAAAAAATAAAAAGAAAAATCATATGGCAGTTGACAGAGATTTTCGTGAGCAGAATTTGATAGACTTGCATCAGAAAGAATCATAATCACTTCACATGGGATGTGAATGAAAAATGACAAGTCCAAGTTTAATTTAATTTAGTGTTCATCTGTATGTTTCAAGTCTTTTGGCCAAAACAAGTTTCGGACCCAGCGATTTTAGTATGTCCATGTAAATTGATAGAGAAGAGAAAACACAGAGTACTACTAGGTTCACCTCAATGGAGATTGAAGTCTTAAAGAACTTGTGTTATACAGGGTAACGTCGAATGTGTAATGAAGTCTAAAAAACATCACTCCAAATGAAACGTAATCCGGATTGTGACAGGCCAAAGATCCATATAAAATAAACGGTAATCACAAAAGATGAATCGAACATAGAAGTGGTGTGAGATAAATGAATGAATAGACCAGGCAATGAACATTACATGTCACTTTGGGGAATGGGAAAAATTAGATGTCTAAACTCTGAAGCCATTCATAAAGCTCAAATTCTCAAATTCTTTTTGGGCCATTGCAAGTGTAGCAACTCAACAATCAAATATAAAGGTTTAGCACTTAGGGAAACAAGCTATCTGCCAGGGCTGCAACTGAAAGGGAAATAGGATGTTTTATACAGAAATAAACAGAGGGAAGTAGGATGAAAAGCATCTTATTCAAAAACAAGACAAGACGCTCCTGTTCAGACAGGAGACAAGAAAGCTCATCATGCTCAAACATAAGTAGTTCACATTTCATTCCTTTTCTTCTTGTTTTCTAAGGGACTCATAAATTATAACGAACTACTGTACAATGACCAAATTTTATCCAGATAAGGGAACTGATAAGGTTCAGAATCTGACCAAAAGAGAAGATAAATCATTCCAGCTCCAACAAAAAGGTTCAGAAATCAGAATAACTTGAGAAATTATACATTCATCAAAACCAATGGTGGATCCAAGGGAGCATAAGGGAGTGTTTGTCCCCTATGAATCCCACCTCCTCCTGTGAAAATTACTTGAGTTCCTTGGTAGAAAATGCTAAAATAACTCCCCCCCCCCCAAAAAAAAAGTAATATTTCTTATAGTTTCAGCGCCAGTAAGTATTGGCCTGATCCGTCAGTGATCAAAACCAAAGGCTATACAGATTTTCACAAGTCAACCATAGACGCGACTACGCTGCAACAAAAGCGGATGACAAAAATAGTGTCCGACTTTCAAATGTATAGTGCAACAGAGCATATAGAACATCAATAAAGGAACTGACCTCCGAAGGAGAAGAGTTACTGTGGCGTGTAGAGTGCAAGTTATGAACTCAATTTCCCAACAAATGGTTCGAGAGCATGTCATTAAATTACACACTACACTAAGCATCAACCATTTGACACGACAACATTAACATGTCTAAAGGGGGTCACCCGCAACAACTCAGGACACTTACAAAAACAAAAGCATTAGATTAAAATATAATAAAGTTAACGTCAATCATTGAAAATCCACAAACATCAGAAAAGGTAACTTCAATTGCTAGCAGTGCAAAAGTCAACAAACAAAATCACACTTGCCTTAGTGGTCAACTTGTAGTCACCCCTCTTCCATTTCCCGCTCCTCACATACCGATCACACTCACAGAGCCTCCTCAACACAGCCAGAATCAAGCCGATCGTCAGGTCGGCGACTTCATCGGTCAACACATCAGGTGTATTTGTAACCCGAATCCCCTTTTCCCTGCACTTGTTCAAGTCAATCTTATCGACTCCAACGCTGAAGCTAGACACGATTTCCAACTTGGGTAAGGCGTCGATGCGCAGCGTCGGCGCCGTAGTTGGAGTTACCAACGACGGCGCGAATGGAATTGGCGTGTTCCTTGAGGAACTGAGCGCTTTGCGGGTAATTCCAGTACCGGTAGAGCTTGTAGCGCTTATCGAGCTCTTGCTCCAGGTAGGAGAACGCTGGGCAGAGCATGAGGACACCGATGGATTCCATGTCAGAGGAATTAGGGTTACGGATCTGAAGAGAATGCGGCTCGTGAAGTGAGTCACCCGACAAGGACGGAGCGCTTCGAGGATTTAAGCAGGGCTGGCCAGCTGGGTATGTGGCGTGCAGTGATCTTCAGAGAACGCTGAATGTGTTTTCCAGATAAATCAGCAAATTAAAAGGGGAAGAAATGAAATTTCCTTGGGCTAAGGTGCGCCAGCATCCTAAACTATTTAACCAGATGTATTCAGTGGTCTAAAGTAATTTTATATGTATTTAATATCCTAAACTAATTAAAATAATGCGTCTATATCTCAAGCTAACAAAAATTTTATGTTTAACTGTTACTTTCCTGACTTAGCTTAAAGTTGACTCCAGATTTTCTAAATGGTAGACATATAAACATTTGATATGTATTATTCTTACTCAAAATTGAATTTATTTCCTTCCTCTTCTTCTAAATAAATTGACTTTTGAAAAGAATATACATATCGGGTGCCCATGTGTTTACCATGTAGAATATCTGGGGTTAACTTTAAATTGAGCCATGAAAGTAACAGTTAAACATAACATTTCTGTTAGCCTAGGGTATGGACGCACCATTTTAATTAGTTTAGAACACTGGATGCATCCAAAATTACTTTAGGCCACTGAACGCATCTGGATAAATAATTCGGGGTGCTGGGCGCATCTTAACCCAATTTGCTTTTTAACTTTTCATGGTTGCCTCATCTTTTTTGTCTTCCTTCGACGTGGAGTGGCGCCAGGATAGTAAAAAAAAAAAAACAGCTTTTTTTGGGTATTGAAAGGATTAGAAAACACAAAACTGTGGCAGCCAGTCGTTGACAATGATATACTAACAGAAACAAAAGCCTTACATGCTTCATGCTTGTTTGGCCCAAAAAAACCCCGCTTCATGCTTGCAAGAAGATTAAAAAAAAAAAAAAGTACTAGCTCTCAGATTTAATAACACTTTTTGTTAATATAATAACTAAATAACTAATACTACTTCCAGTCTTAATTATAAAAGTTAGTCAACTAATTTGAGAAGATTAAAAAAATAAGTTAAATTAGTTATTTGTAATAAATATGTATTGTCTTTCATAAAATGTCCTTGCTAATCAAGTAGATTGTGGCTACAACTAACATTATTATTAAAAGGACTACTAACATTATTAAAAGGACTAATATGTGGTTTTATATTTATGACTAAAATAAAAATCAAACGAAGTCTTATATATTGGCAAAAAAAACTAATCTGATATTGATAAAAAAGAATAATTAATTTAAAAAAAATAGTATAATTCGTTAATTGTAACAAAGTGCTCGTACTTTAAAACTATCCCTGAAAACCCTTAATAATTAATAGGAATATTTTTAAAAAAATTATAAATTTGAGAAATAAATTGAATTGATGTTTTATATTTAGGATCAATTTTAATCTCTCAACTAACTTTTATACTAAGGATAAAAAGTTGCATAAGTTTGAGATTGAATTTGATCTTACATATAACTTTTTTATCCACTTTTCATATTTATTATTTTTCTCTAAATCAACCGACTAAACTTATTGTTTTCCTTTCTAATTTATTTAATTTATAAACTACTCCTCCGGTCCTTAATATAAGACCCATTTAACTAATTTGATTAGATTAATGAAGTTAGGTAAGTTAGTTAATTGTAAGAAAAGTGACACATTTTTCCTAAAACACCATAATCATCTTCGTTAATACCCCATCTCCCTCTTCTACTTGATTATTGGTTGAGGGAGTATCCACAAGGGTAATTTAGAGAAAGTTGATAATATGAAAAATGGGTCTTATATTTAGAATCAAAACCAACTCAAGAAGTGAGTCCTATATTAAAGACCGAAGGAGTATTATATAATAATCTAACATTGTAGTAGGATATTTTTAGAAAAATTACATTACATTAATTATAATTAAATAATTTATTAATTTATCAGGATTAATTAATACTTTTATATTAATAATCCGAGGGAATTCACTTTTGTTTTGACTATTAGGAATATAATGATGCGAATTAACTGGCTCATCAAATGTATTATCTGGAAACCAACATAGGAAATTCTTTTCGGATGAGTTCTGCATTGGGCTACATGCATGTTTATCTCCTTATTTCTTTTCGTGCTGTTTGTATTTTTCAAAAAAAATTCATTGCATCTTTTATAATATTCTCGAGTATTTTTGTAAAAAGGGTTTTTCTTTTAGTGTTTTTCTCAAAAATCATGCAAGAGACGGCGATCACATTTGGATTGAATAAAACAAGATAATGAAGATATGATAACAGCAAATAATAAAGGACTTAAATTGTAGTAATTACATTACATTTGCATTCTAAAGTAGCAAATGAAATTTTGCAGGACGTCATTCTAAAAATATTTTGTGGTGAATTTAATAACTTAAAAATATTTTTAGGTGTGTCTAAATTTTTTTGATATATCAATTGTCAAGTGTAAAATGGTACTAAAAATATTTTATAAGTGTTAGAACACTTCAAAAACTGTTAGATTTGCTGATTAAGCATGAGATTTTGAGGTAGAGTCTATATGACTAAAAAATGGCTTTGACAAAACTACCTCTAATATACTACTTGAATTCAACCCAATCATCAAATAAACATACTCCTCTGATCCTAAATATAGAATCTTTATATACACTAGTATAAGAGTCTTATATTTAGAACCACAGGAGTATTAAAATATGAAAATAATAATTAGAGAAAATAGCAAAAAAATCTTAGAAATAGAAAATTTGCAAATAAAACCCATTACAATCTAAATATTGGTTTTGACAACAACTGATAAACAAATAATAACAATTTATGTAAATGAACTGCTCTACTCAATTTTTTTTTTAATTTTTAAAGTTTTTTTTTTTGCTATTTTCACTAATAATTATCCCCAATGAACAAGGTTACCGTTGAATTTTATGGAGCATATTATTGAACTTAGAACATTTATAATATAAATTTAAAACATAACAATTGTATATAAAAGAAGAGTGACGGGGATATGAAGATGCGGCGCAGAGGCCTCTTTGTTTCTGAGACACATTGGCCTGTATTTTTGACAACTCGTGGGGGTAATGAAACCGCAGATCACTTAAATTGTTAAAAAAAAATAATTAGTAGGATTTGTTTAAAAAAACCCCACAAATAAAAATGGTTAAACTGTGGGATTTCATTCCATTCAAATACTACATGAGAAGGACAAAACTGCTATGAATAACCTTTTTATTTTTAAGTCAGGGATTGGAGATAATAAAACTATATGAAGATACTCATATTCTTTTTCACCCAATAACACCTTGAATTATATCATATACAAAACTGATTTTTAAGCAAAAAGCTTTTTTTTTTTTTTTAATGCCAGATAACCTAAAAGTTATTATTAACATAATCTATATTTTAATCAATGGATCTATCTATAAGTTAATGTGCTAGGCATTACATGTCTGTCATCCTGATCTTTAGCTACGTTTGACCTGGGAATTACAACCTCAACCATCCAATATCTTACATCATAATTCATGTACCACAACAGATTCTTCCCCCAAAATTATTAAAATAAAATGCAAAAAAAAAAAAAATTTGTTTTTCTCTAGTTTCTCACAACATGCACCCCACGTTCTAAGAAACCCAGCTCAAAATTGGAAAAAACTGACACAATCCCATCAAACAATTGCCTCCACACTTTCTCTCAATCTCCTAAAAAAGATTTTCATTCCTCATTATCCTTCTCTTTCTCTCTCTCTCTCTCTCGATCTCTTGCACCACAAGCAACGAACGAAAGTTTAGTTTCTTTCTGAAACCCATGCTTGTTCTGTTCTTCCTTGTTCATCTTCCGTAGGTAGGAGAGCTTCTTCTTCTTCATTTGGACATGGTGGAGCAGGAAGGTTACATGTCGAAGCTTTTCAATTTCAAAGGGAGGCACAAGAAGAGCTTCAGCGTTGAGACTGGATGCAATTTAGAATCTTCAAAAGAGGAAGAGCCATTGTCTTCAACAAGCCAATCAAACCCTCAGAATGAAGAGTCTGCTTCTGATCAAAATGGATGTCCTGATAAGTCAAGCTCAATCATTGAAGAAGCTGCAGCAGTCAAAGAAGTTAGAGAGAAACTGCACCAAGGTAATTACGAAGATATAATAAATATCATCATTTGTAATTGTAATGCAAATCCATTTGGTTTGAATCAAAGGATCAAATTGAAATCCATGTTTGTTTGGTTTGGTTGACACTCAGAAATAGAACAGATGAAGGAGAGATTTGCAAAACTGCTCCTGGGTGAAGATATGTCTGGTAAAGGAACTGGTGTTTCCTCTGCTTTGGCTCTGTCTAATGCATTTACAAATTTAGCTGGTAAGTTCAGTTTTTTCTTTCACCTTCCTTCACACATTGATGAAATAAATAATAATAACAAAATTAAGGGTTCAGTTTTCTTATGTTTTAATCCTAACAATATTGGATGTACAAATCATAATAAGATTGCACTTAAGTCTTTTTTGGCCCCTGAGGATGCAGCTGCTGTGTTTGGTGAACAAAAACGACTAGAACCAATGCCACCAGAGAGAAAAGCAAGATGGAGAAAAGAAATTAACTGGCTTCTTTCTGTTACTGATTACATCGTTGAAATGGTCCCATCACATCAAACAGCTGATGATGGCTCCCAAATGGAGGTAAATTTTTCTCTCTCTGAGCCTCTCTGAGAATTTGAGTAAGATTATTCCTGACACTGAACTTCATTAAACTTGATCTTTGATTGAATAGATTATGACGACGAGACAAAGAATTGATCTCCTCATGAACGTACCTGCATTGAGAAAACTTGATGCTATGCTTATTGTAAGAATACTGAGCTAAAACTTTGAGTGACCATCATTAGTTTTCTTTACGAGGCAACACCTGATTAGAATTTTCTGAAACAAATGGGGATGATGATCAGGATTGTCTGGACAATTTTGAAGGCCCAAGTGAGTTCTACTATGTATCAAAAGATTCAGAGGACTCGAATGAAAACTCCAAGAGAAAAGATGATGATAAGTGGTGGTTGCCAATACCAAAGGTTCCCCCGGAAGGTCTATCTGAAAACGCAAGAAAATTTCTGCAGCATCAGAAAGATTGTGTCAACCAAGTTCTTAAAGCAGCCATGGCCATAAATGCTCAAGTTCTATCAGAAATGGAGATCCCAGAAAATTACATTGAATCGCTTCCAAAGGTAAGAGGAAAACAACTACTAGGATCAGTTTGCTCTCTCAATTCTTTGTTTGAGTATTGAAATGATGGTGATCATTTACAGAATGGGAGGGCGAGTCTAGGGGATTCAAACTACAGAAGTATTACAGTAGAATATTTTGATCCTGATCAGTTTCTGGTGACCATGGACTTGTCATCAGAGCATAAAATCTTAGACCTCAAGAACAGAATAGAGGCATCCATAGTGATTTGGAAGAGAAAAATGAACCAGAAAGATGGGAAATCAGCCTGGGGTTCTGCTGTGAGTTTTGAAAAAAGAGAACTTTTTGAAGAGAGGGCAGAAAACATCCTGCTTCTCTTGAAGCAGCGTTTTCCTGGCCTTCCTCAATCTTCTTTAGATATCAGCAAAATCCAGTACAACAGGGTAAGGCACTAATCTATTTTCTTACTTATTCCTAACCCCTTCATTAGACATAATATAAGCAAAATCCAGTTCCAGTGACAAGGTTTCATGAAGAACAACATATTTTGATTGTTAATGCGTTTCATCAGCTTAAATTAAGGATCTCTTCTGCACTTGGCAGGATGTAGGGCAAGCAGTTCTTGAGAGCTATTCAAGAATACTAGAAAGTTTGGCATTCACAGTTCTCTCAAGAATAGAAGATGTACTCCATGCAGATTATCAAACTCAAAACCCATCAAAGAATGCGAGAAAAAGCGCACTAAGAGGCATTCCTAAGTCACCGAGTCCGACTCCTATCAAACAAGACTCGGATATGAGTGCAGAAGAAACAACTGTTTCAATGACACTTTCAGATTTCATGGGTTGGGAAGGTGATACAGGTGACTCAGACATGAAGAAGGACCCTCAAGCTGTTACAGATGACTTATGCAAAGACACGGATGGAAAAATGCAGAAACTTCCCAACATAGACACCAACAAGAAGGTGTCTTACCTTGAGAATTTGGGTGGCATGAGGAGCCCAACATCACGCCATTGAACTGAAAAACAGAAGATGACGCCGAAGATTGAACATGAGAATAGCTGAGTGACTTTTTTAATCCTTGGTCTATTCTTGCCTTTTGTAGATAGGATGAATATGCAGAATCAGCCCGTTTGAAACATTGTTTGATATGATATCCCCTGTACAATAAGGATTTGTAGTCTAGTAGCTACCATAATTTGACTTTTTTATGAATTCAGACATCGCTCTTATGCCCTCTTCATCTTTATTTTCCCTCTACGCAGTGATCAGCTAAGCAAGGTAATATCTTGTTCAAGCCATAAAGTCTTCTACAGCGTGCACAAAAACTTGGGGTTGATTCAATTTCGATTTAAACAAAACCTTCTTTTCCCTTCTCTTGGGGTTGATTGAAGTCACACATGCTCTGTGGTAAGACGAGATTGATAGAAAAGACAAGAGCATCATAATCAAATAGGCCAAACATATTGGTATCTGCCTCAGTTTACATACTTACACAATATACACATAGAGGATTGAGATATATTCAATTTTATACATTAACAAAACCCCAATTATGGATCTCCAAAATTAGACCAGATTTTGCCACGAGGACCAGGCTTCGGAGGCTGTTGTGGGCCCTTAACAATGGGAAGAATATCTCCTGAAGCTGTGGCACTGAAGTAAGCAAGTGTGGAGCCACCTCCCAGTATCAAGTACTCGAGGAGCAATCCTCTCTTTGTGAATGAAGCAGCAAGTGTCTCAAAGAACTTGCTCTGCAAATCCACATCACTTCAAGAGTTATTAACTTTTTGTGCTATTAGAGAGATAAAGAACAAAGAGTACAGATGACTAACATGTTATAGCTGCTACTTTTGACTCGCTGCTGACACATTGACAGGTCAAAGTTTAAAAAACATAGGACAATTCTTGTTAAGGATGGTGCAATTATACCATACCCAAAATTCCAAATGTTTCTTACAGTCTCCTATGATTAATACTGCAGTTATCACTACTGTTATCGATACATCTACCGCAGAGTCATAATGGATACCACAAAACGATTTGACAACCTTGACATGGTTGCTTTCATAGCTCAGTTGGTTAGAGCACCCGTTTAGTAAGCGGGAGGTCTTGAGTTCGACTCTCAATGAAAGCAGTCTTTTTCTTTCCTTAATTTTTCTTACTTTTCTTTTGTTTCAATATGATCCTTAATTTCAATTAGCATTAAATTAAAATAAAAAAGAGGAAGCTAGGGCCCAAAGAGATCAGAGAAAAGAACCTGAAGAGGGTTATAAGGTGAGGGTGCATCAGAACCATATAAATCCCACTGGCCCGTAGTGTTGCCCAGATCTTCCAAATCAAAGTACACACTCTTGTCACCGTACTTTGCCACCACAGCCCCACTTCTTCACAATAACATATTCAAAATGCATCAAGCAACCTCATAATAACAAAACATCGTAATATACAACGAAAGGAAAACAGAGGAAACATGATAGGCACCTTAATTTTTTGAGTCTGAAACTGAGGCGGACGGAGAGCTTAGTTCCGGTGAGCGAACTTCCGGCGAGGCACTTCGGGCACCCGGCTGAGCAGCAGCTACGGCTGCCAGAGAAGCCATGATTTCTCAGTTTTCGGCTGTCGGTTTGCGTTGGTGTGCGTCGGTTTTTGTCTTTTTGATCTGTTAATTGCATCTGTGAGAGCCACGTGTCCTTTTGGGAAGGATAAGCCTATCTGAATTGATATTAAAGAATAGGGCAAACCATAGTGGAGGTACCTATACTTTTTTCAATTTTCAATTTGATACCTATGTGTTTTTTGTTCTTAACTAAATCTTTATTTTTCCTCTATTAACATCATTAATCCTTATGTAGAGACTAAAATATCAATAGAACAAAGTTATAAGAGCTAATGTTGCTAAAAAGATAAAATTAAATGTTTAATAATGAGAAAAAAACACATAGATACCAAATTAAAAATTGAGAGAAAGTATAGGTACTTTAATATGGTTTTCCCTAAAGAATATAAACTCTAAAAACTAAAATGCATTTTCTCATCATTAGTTTTTTTCCAATTGACATTAATACTTTATCAACTAAATTGTATTCCTTGTAAGTTATTTTCTTATTCAGCTCATTCTAGCGGTTATTGAGATACTACCTCATCTTATAAGCACTAGTTAATTAATTTAATAGATTAAAAAATTAGTTATATTATTTATTTGTAATAAATATATTATTTCTTAAAATATCATTGCTAATCAAGTGTATTGGTTATAACTACCATTATTATAAATACTACTTTAAAATAAATGAATAAATATGAAAGACATAGTATATTAAGGGTGTTATATTTAGAACAAAATAAAAATTAAACGAATAATAAATTTTTAGAAATAATTTTATGATATTTAAAATAAATATGCAACAAAAAATTTTAGCACAACTTATGTAAAGACATTTTTTAAAGGAGTATTTGGGAACAACAACAAAAACATTAAAAAATATTTTTATATAAATTGAGATGGCTCCTCTTGTATTTTCAGAATATGCAAAAGCTAATCCAAATAACAGTACACCACTATGAGAGTTCTCAAACACCTCTAGCCACTTTTTTTTTAATAATAATTTTACGAGTGTTTGACTGTCTGCAAATATAATTTGTGCAAAAAATGATTAAAAAATGTATTTTCCCCTCCAAAAAATTGAAACTGTATTTGCAGCCTCAGGGCAAGGGGCGTCCAAAATTGGGATAGAGTAGCTGGGTGTTATTTATCTGCTTCGCCTTATCCTTTTGCTTCGGCTCCATAGTCCCAATCCTCAATGTCACTTCTGCAACTTCCTCCTTTACACTCCCTCAAGCTCTCCACCCCTTCCTCAATGGCTCCTCTTCTCTCTCCAAAACTGCGCCACCGTCGCCGTCGAAGACCGTCGCCGTCGAAGTGGTTCGATTGGCGCCTCACCCCAAGTACAAGAGGCGTGTCAGGAAGAAGAAGAAGTACCAGGCTCATGACCCTGAGAATCAGTTCAAGGTAGGGGACCTCGTTCAGCTTGAGAAAAGCAGACCTCTTAGTAAGACCAAGACTTTCGTTGCTGTCGCCGTTCCACCCAGGGGTTCCAAGAAGGATGAAGCTTCCGGGGAGATTGGAATTCCATTGGAATCGCAGCAGGAGCAGCAGCCAGTCGCTTAGGGTGATGTGTCAATTTTCTGTTTAATTTGTTGATTGTGCTTTACCTTCGTTGAAATTGTTTCGGATTTAGAGTTCTCATGATGTGTCCTTGATGGATATGTATGGCATACATTTATTTGAGCTTGTTCAATATTCAATATTTTGAATCATAACGCTTCTGAACTTCTTTAGTAAGGGTTTTAAGTAGAGCTCAATAAATACACTTTTGAAAGTTTTTTTTTTCCTTTCCATTTTATATATTATAAAGAGAATGTCAGTTATTTGTCAATTTTTGTGTAAGTTGTAGTTGTCTGGCACAGAGTGGTAAATTGAGATGTTCATGAATTGAAAGGATGACTAAAATTTGGTCCAGCCAAATTTTGTTCTTTGTGGTTATAAGTGTTACCCTGAGATGTTTAGGGTATCATTGGTGCTGGACAAAATATCAGTGAAATTGGTCTTCGTATGTGATTGCTCCAAATGCTTAGTTACAGCACTGGTTTTCAAAGCTCTGTGTCAGGTGTTTGATGAAATGCTTGTGGAGGTTCTTAATGCTCCTCTGAGCCATTTTGGATTCCATGTTTATGTAATATGTTCATGATAAAAGGAAATTACTTCTGCATAAAGTATTCACTTCTTATTTTATTTTCAAATTTCTTCTAGGTTGCAATTGTATGACCCTGAGAGAGGAATTTAGATTCTCATGATTTTGAGGATTGTGAATCCCGCCAAATTTTTATTTTGTCTCTCCGAAGTCAGAACTCTTTAGACGAGAAGTTTTTTTAGTGACAGACAAAAGTTGAAGAAATTAGAGTGGGCTGTTGATAACGTTCGAATGCAGTGTTATGTGACAGTGAATTGCACTTTCAATGCTTATTGTGCCAGACAAGTCTGGTGAAATCGTTGGTGCTGATAGCAAGATTTATTCATAAAATCTTTTGGCTTACTTACCTTTTTCGATTTACCTCTTTATTTTTTCTTATCCTTTGTGTGTTTTCTCGTCAGTGGCAAGGGCTCAACGCACATGGTCCAGAATTTTTTTTTTCCCCATCAAAAAAAGTTTAGACGAGTTGAATTCCAAAATTAACTAAGAAAGGTCGTATAACTTAGAGTACTTGCAAAAGTACTTAGAGAACATTCACTAATGAAGTACTCATGTCCATGGTAAGATCTTAACCCACATCTTTGTGGGGGTATATAGTATATTATCACCAATTGGAACGAACAGTTTTTATTGGTCCATAAGATCTATTATTTTTGTCTCACTGCCATATTTATTTTTCAAGCACGAAAGAATTGCTATTTCAAGATTTTAATTGTTGATCATAACTTTGTTTCTTCTTCTCTTTACCTTTTTATTCATGATTGGTGCCTTTCGCCTTTCTCACATTTCTGTCCACCCCCCTAAGATCTAAATGCGCTTGACCTTAGTCTATAATCACAGGTAAATAAATCCCTGTATTACTATTACTATAGCGGGAATATGATGATAGTTCTTGGTGATTACAAATTCTGCATCTTTTTAATGAAATTGACAGAATTAATTTGAGAGGTGAGAAAGGCATAACTTAAACATACTAATGAATTAGTGAAGTTTCATTTTCCTAAGATATGTGTTCTTTTTGTATGTGCGTGCAAGTGTATAGGCGAAATTGACACAGTACACAGTGCACATGCATAAAATTGCATACTTCGATGCCGTGAAAACTTTGGCTGATGTAAAAATGTGTAGAATTTTCTGAAAGCTGAGCCTAAACATTCGTTTTCTTAGCCCTACCCTTGAAACATGATCTGTGTTTGTCAACTTCAAACAGCTCGAATTGTTTTTTGGATATCAGTTTGGATGCCTAAACTCAATTTTTCTGACCCGGTTTTCACCGAATGCTGGTTTTTTTTGCTTTACTAAAATGAACAGGGGTTATCTGTTTGCTCCTATTTTGATACGTGTCCGAGTAGTCTGCGAAGTGCAGTGGACAAGGATTGCTTGGGATTTAATCCCACTCTAGTTTAGCTTCCTTTGGACTAAGCCCTGTTCTGTACCCAAAAAAAAAAAAACAAAGTAGAGTTTTGCTCCTCAATTCCAATGGAAATAGTGTTACTTTTACTGAACTGCATTTTCTTGAGTTAGTTTTCAAAATACCATTTTCTACAAACTGATATCTGAACATGCACTTAATGGGCACGTTTAAAATTTTTGTTGCAAAGCATTGCAATCTTGCTTTATGCATTGTACTGTACACATGCGGTTCACAATGAGTAGACCATGGAATAAAAGATAAGAAACTTGCTGAAATCATACTTGAAGTATTGTTAAACAATACTCATCCGTCCATTAAAGCAACCGCGCGAGACATTGTAGAGTTAGGTCTATCAAAAGAGATAACATCTCTCCGTGTCGATAAGTACAAGCATCGAATTTAATTTTGGTACACTTTGAAACAATAAAAAGCCACATTTCATTAATAAAATAATAATGCTATACATGAGACATCCTTAAATATCTTGGTTCTAAAAGCTTTGGTGGCTCCTCTCTATTGAACGCCAGATTCAGATGTACATTTACTGCAAGACCTCCTTTCAACAAGAACAATGAATGAAAAAACCCAGAATAAGGGATGACTGAAACGCAGTTAAGCTATATTTTTGCTGAACCAAACACTAGCTCTAACTAGGAAGAAAGCCTATGAGTATGAAAGCTAACTTAAGTCTACCTATCTAGCTAATATTATTAATAATATGAATTTCATGTTTGATCAACCATCCTCACATTGTAAACTGGTTCTGATATTTCTTAATGTACAAGATACAAGAGTGTTGACAGATTCCACAGACTCCATTGTTAGCTTAGCTGTAGGAGATGTATTAGTAAGGGCCTGGAAACCCACTGTGAGCAAAGATCCTCCTTCTGTGTTTCTCTCTTCCTCCCTCGAAGTTATGACCAATGGCCTAGCGTCCAACCCATCAGGTAGAATTGAGAAGCCTGAGGGAAGTACGGCTAGATTGCTAGAGTCACATCCTGTCATCACAGACTGAATCCCAGTGATATCAACTGGAGCATAAACTACCATTGATTCGTATGCATTTGTGCAGCTATCTTGTAGTACCCACATGCTGTTTTCTTTAGATTTAATTGTCTGCAAGATGTGAAGAATCCACAATTCAGGATTAGAGCTTGTTAGGAGCCAGATTATGTGTGATCTGCTATTTAACAGAGGACTTACTTGGATGGTCACTGAATTGCCTCGATCTTGTCCTTTGGCTAAGTTCGCTATAGATTGCACTGAGGCACCATTGGACATGATATCCCACTAGAACAAAGAGGATGAAGAGTTAATCCCTAGTTCTTGTTGTCGTGATAACTTACCAAATAGGCTAAAGAATTTTCAGGGTTGTTACCTCAGATCTGCGAGCTTCATCCCTCAAGAAATCGAACAGAACATTAGGAGAAACTGGCAGCCACACAGAAGAAACTGCACATAAGATCACCCCTAGAGGTTCCCCAGGATCATTCAAATTCTTCCTAGAACTTATTCTGATGTCTTCCCCTGTTTTGCTGGTGACCTTAGTCCATGTATGGAAGCTCGAAGCTCCAATGGCATGGCAGAAACTACATGTCATTCTCTGTGCTAGCTTCAAAATGCTCTTCCTTCCTGCTAACGTTGCAACACCTGAACAAGTACAAATCATCATATCTGGTTAGTATCATCCGGGACAATCTTGAGATATACTTTCATACAGCAAATTTCTAAAAGGCCTTTAGAGTAATAAAATTCATGTTGATAAAGAGAGCTATACTGTCTTCTTTGAATGCTTACTACTAAGTCTCACCAGTTGAATCCTTCATGGGAACATTGGTGGCCATGAAGAAAACCAGACGTTCACATTGAAGTTGGAGGGTGGCAACCCAGTGCCTTGCACCAAAAGCCATGCCACTGTTCACAATGGTGCGGTACATTGTGTGGACTGCGCTCTTCTGGCATTCCAAGTGCTCCACCCACGTTACCTGATAACAACAATCAGTGGGTCTTAGCTTCCTTCTACTAAACTAACAACTTAGCATTTCTATCCTTGAAAAACAGAAATCTATTTCGGGTCAATCTTTCTGGATCAACATTACTTTGGTACTATAGTTATGGTATTAGTATATGCTTAAATTTTGCTTTAATCTTAATTTCAAGTTATTTAAATATATTATTTTCCTTCTTATAGTTCAAACTAACTCCTTTGATCAAATTTTGCAAATTGCATTAAGAAAGTCACTACTAGTTTTTCTTTAAAAGAAAACCTTACTTAAAGTTAAAGCGATAGTAACTTTCCTAAAATAAGGTAGGAGGACACCAAAAGTTTGTTTTCAACTTGAATCATTAAAAATGATTATAATTTGACAATGGTAGGAGTAAAACCAACCAAGAAAATTAAAAAAGTCAAGATATTTAACCTAAATTTCGAATGATCTAGGCCCCTATATGTAATTTTGACAAAGAAGCCTGTGAAAGTCTGAAACTTGATGATGGGGATTGTAGAAAGAAATGAAAGGAAGAAAGAATCTTATGATGCTGCGTGCGGTGTTAGTTAAGGAAATACCTTGCAATGGCCATTAGACTTGTCTTCAATAATGCAGCCAGAGGGTCTTTTTCGACATTTGACAAGTGAGGCATCTATGTTGTCTTCAACCTTGTCCACTGACACATCCACAATTGCCCACTGCTCTGCACTGAGTTGCTTGCAGTACCTCACGAAATAAACTTCTCTTGTGGCCACCATTGGCGTTAGCATTTGTAGCTCAGCGAACATCTGCAGATTTTGAAATTACATCCGTTCATTTCATTGTTCACGTTTCGTCTTTATCACTGTTTATTAACTACTCTGTCCCCTTCCCTTCTTTTCATTTCCAAAACGACAATGCACATGTGAATGTCACCATTCTCTTTTACTTTTCAAAGGTTAGAAATTGGGTTCTCAATTTGAAAACAGACAAACAGACCACTCATAATATAGATTTTTTTTTTTTTTTGAGAAAACTACTGTAAATTTCAAAGTTACGAATAGTGCAAAATTTCATCTACTGATGTTGATTTTAATGGAAGGAATTTGAACCACTTAAATACAAGATCTCGAGTTTGTACGAATGTAAAGTGCTACTCCTAATTAAACTCAACAATGCTCAGATTTCTAAAGTGTTATTAGAACTAACTCTCTTAATGCGATTTTTTTTTTCATTCACACTATTCAAAATGATCTTAACCTTGTTTTGAAAGGAATTAAGTTCCTTTCACTCAGTCGATTCAATCACTATTAGTAAATTCTAGTTTTTGAAATGTGTGACTCAAAATTGATGTTATTTTCTTTTTTCTTTTTCTTTTTTTTAACACCCTCCCAATTTAATTCTTACAGAGAAAGTGATGTAAAACAGGAAGAAAAAGAAGGGAGAGAAGAGAGAATGGAGAGGAAGCTGAGAAAATTGGAATTCAATTCAATACTCAAATCTGATTATAATTTATAATTAGAACATAATCAATTAGATATTGTTCAAACATAAAGTTAATTATTTCGAGTAAAATCATGTGTTTGGACCAACTAATTTACATATATTAAGAAAACCACTCTATGAGTCCTAACAAGATGTGATGACAAAAGTAATGTATATAGTACAGCCAAAGAAATAAAGAGAATGCGGATAAAGTCATGTAGTCATTTTTACACATAATTAATCATTATTTTTATCCATTTTAATACTACCTTCGGTCATTAATATAAGACCTTGTTTGACTTTTATTTTGATCCTAAATATAAGACATCAATCCACTTTATCTCTCATATTTATACTTTTTTTTTCAAAATAATTCTTTTAACAATAGTAGTTCTAGTCAATACATTTGATTAGCAAGGATATTTTAAGAAAAACAACACATATTTAGGACAAATAACTAATTCAATTTACTTTCTTAATCTCTTCAAATTAGTTAACTAACTTTTATAATTAGAACCGGAGGTAGTATATAATTGCATGACTGAAAAAATTAACTTAAAGTCTGATATAATATGTAGTAGAGATATGGGAAAGGGAAAGGAAACTGCTGAAAAAGAGTCGGTGAATGGGATTGGAACTTTTGTAAATATTCTCTTTAATGCTTTTTTTGTATCTTTATATCATCACTTTCTGATATCCAAACAAAAGGCTGTTTTAAAGTCACAAGCACCCTTTTATTTTTTTTCAAAGAAAAAAAATTAGAAAACAAATGGCTTATTATAAACCACGTATAACTTCTATTATAGTAGTAAAATTCGGCAAAAAGAATATCTACTCTGAAATTAAACTTCAAGCCATCTTTTTTCTCAATCAACCACGTGGAAAGTTTGACATTTCAAAAAAGGCCATCATTTTCTCATGGATGGACCACAACGCTAGGGAAATACAAAATACCTTAATATATTAAAAATAATGAATATATCTATGATTAGGTTGAAACATGAAGCTGATATTGAAGATAATTGAAACGTTTTTTTTAATTAAAAATTTTTTAAAGCTTTTGATTATATATGTGGGCCCCACAGACTTTAATTAGTGTCACCGGGGGTAAAAAAAACTAGCAAAAAGTGATAATGATTCTTTGTTAATTTAGTTGTTTTGTTTGGTAACTCACCAGATGAACGGCACCGTTTCTGTTAGCTCCTTCTCCACTGCATATCACATCCACAGTTGCTGCTTTTGATATCAAGCATGGAAACATTTCCTTCCATTGATTCTGCATATATCACACAAAAATATATTTTAGATTTGAGTTTTGTTAAGTCTAATTTTTTTTTCTCATTCACAAACAAACTTTGAGACAAAACTCTTATCACATATTTAATCGTCAAATTGATTAGCTAATGGAAATATCCACTAAGCTTAGAGGTGATTGAGTCAATTATTCCTCTCAACATAATCATATTTTAATTCTGTCCTGCAACTTTATTATGCTCTTATTTAAGTTTTCTACTATCCTCTTGTGGATATCTAGTACTATAAATTTGACTTTTAATTAAGATTTGCTAGAACTCGAAATATTTTTTCTCCTCATTTATGGGAAATTGAATTCTTTCCATTTAACTTAATTGTGGCTTTTCTCCATATAGCATATCCTCTGCAAAATTTATGTGTGTGCCTGTTTCTCCAACACATAAAGGAAGAAAATGTGATATATTGCAGAGAAAAAGTGATTCGTATCTGCAGATTTGTTATGTGTAACGTAAAAACAGTTAGCTTGAATATGTATTGTAATTAATCAAACCAAAGTGGCTTACCACATCTAAGAATCTGTGAACGAGACGAGGGAGATCAACAAAAACAAGGCCAGTTTCTCTGGAAGCTTCAATGGATCTTTTGGGTCTTCCTCCACGGCTGCTTGAACTTTCAACTTTGTTGTTCCCAAACTCCTTCACATACTCATCATAGTTCAGAATTTCCCGATCAGTCTCTAAACTCCGAACCCACAATGGTTCTCCCACGGTCGCCATTTTCACCAGCTCCTCCACGGCTTGATTCACAATCTCCATTATTCTGGACTTGTCAAGCCCAAATATACCAGTGTAGAAATCCAACGAGCTCCTGCACTCTTGTTCATTCCCTCCCGAACACGACGGCGACGCTGTCCCTTGTGGGTACTTCCCTATCACCGCTCTTAACTTCTCCACCTGCACAAGATGGTCTCAAGTTTCAATCTTTAAACATATAGAGAGAGAGAGAGAGAGAGTTTAATTACTGTAACTGTAATAACTGATTCAACTGCATGCATGCATGCATTCACAAAGGCTCGCAACAGTGTTGTGTGTGGAGGCGAATTACCTCGGCTTTGAGTTTGGCATTTTCGATACGAAGTTGTTGTTCTTCGGTGGACATGAGGGTGTCTCTGCTGGTGGTGGCCATGCCACAGTTTGGGCAGCAAGCTTTGTTGATGGTCTCTCTCATTTGCTTGTTTTCGTCCCTCAGTTTGTCGATTTCTGTCTTTAACAATGAATTCTCATGACGCTCTTGGATTGCCTGCAAATGTTCATTATTAAACACTGACAAATTAAAATGCAAGCTTGACAATGAAACTCCCTAGAACTCTATAAATATATATATATATATATATATTAATAATTTTGGATTATTGTCTTTGTCTTGGAAAAAAGAAAGAAAAGAAAAGAGAGAATGTAATTATGATACCTTGATTTGGGTTCGACGATTCTGGAACCAGAACTTGACTTGTCGAGGAGCAAGGCCTAATTGTTTGCTAAGTTGTTGCCTTTGCTTTTCATCAGGGTGGGGTGACTCTTTGAAAAGCCTGAAATATTTGTACCTTCTTTTCAGTCCCTTTATTTTCCATTTTTTGCCATCAAACATTTGCTAAAATCTCCTGTAACTAGTAATAAGAAACTGCAGTGGACTAAAATAAATAAATAATGGGGTTCACTTAAAAATAGAGTTTATCGCTTATATATCTCATTACAGCTAATTGTCTTTATATAGTTTTAAAAAAATTGAAAAAAGGAAAGCTACTCGGGCCTGTGAAAAATGGCGCTTATTTCCTTCTTTCTTTCTATTATATAGGCTTTTACTTATCTAAACTTGTTACTCCTCCGGTCCTAAATAGAAAACCCTTATATTAGTGTGTATAAGGATCTTATATTTAGGATCAGAGGAGTATATAGATTTTATTTGGAGCACTTATATTTTGTTAATTATTTAATTTTCCCCATAATTTTGATTAAAATAAACATTTTATTGCGTAAGAATCTATAGTCAAAAAATAATCTGACAACAAAAAAGAGAGTAATTACTAATTAGTTCCTTTATGCAAAACCGCAATCATATAAAGCTCAATATAATCCAAATGGGTATCCTCCCAACCAAATTGCAAAGCTGTACTCAAAATTAAAGATCCATCATCACATATCACTATTTTTTTACACATAACTAGACCTCACTATTCACAACTTTGTGAATAAGGCGGCTTTCAGTGATTCCCTACATATATAGCCAGCTACTTTGATGTTAATATTTTTCCTTTTAATTTAATAACGTTGGCATGCAAATTACTCTTTTTTTTCTTTCTTATAAGTTTCAAATAACTAATTCATAAATAATGAACCATTAGTTAAAACTGGTCAAACATAATAAATAGGTTAAAAATATAGTTTTTTTTCAAATATGCCAGTAAAAGAAAATGTATGAAAAAAATGTAACAAGAGATATTACGATAAGAAGAAAGAATAAATAATTAAAGACAAAATTAAAAAAATATATTAAATATTAAAACAAACATTAAATTAAACCTTGGACTGCGTCTCTTCCCAAATTTAAAGCTTATAAATAGTAGTGGAGGAGTATATATATATATTAACTTCACAAAGACCCATTTTCATTTCGTTGGTTTAAATTCTCTCCTCATTAGTGAGTGACGACTAGTTGACACCTAACATGCATGTGAAAACATAAAAATTGAAAGCCTAAAAAGAAAAAAAAAAAAACTTTACCTCAACTTTAACAATGCCAATATAATACTCTTGACAAACTTCAAAAGAAAAGGTGCTTAAAAAAGTAGATTTTATGCTCAGCTAATCGCCTAGGATCAATGACACAATGTATAGCATTCTAATTTAATCAACCCCTTTGGAATACATTAATATATTGTTTTGTTTGGTGTTATCTTCATAATGTATTTGAAACATTATTTTTGAAAAAAGGGGGAAAAAAACAATGAAAACCGAAATTGATAATAAGCAGAGATGAGTATTAAAAAATGAATTTAAACCAAAAAAACAAGGAAAAATGATTGACGTACGCTTCCATTTCTCTGATTTGTTCAGCAGTGTGTCTGTGATACTTCTTCCTTTTCTTCTTCTTGTTCTTATCTCCGTCGCCGCCGTCATCGTCGTCATGCTCTCCTTCTCCTTCAAAATCAATATCGTCCGATCTGGATCTCGTGTGGCCGGAGTTCTCGCTGCTAATCTCCACTGTTTCATCTCGTCGGCCCCCGCCACTCCCTTCATCCCCCTCCTCCACCTCTCTGCTGGACGTGGCGGCCCCCGCCACCGCAGCCGTTTCCCCAGCATGCCGGAAAATCCCAGCCTTGATTCACGGCACAGAAAAAATCAATCAGAGAATCGGAAATATAAAAAATAGACGAAGTTCAGAAGCTGGGGATGAAGAAAGGTGAGAACTTTAATGGAATATTTCACTTACGAGACTGAGAGAAAGAGCCGGAGAAGCGAAGAAGTCTTTAGTGTGAGAAGATGGAGGTGGGTTATTGGACATGTCCACGCCCATTTGCTTCAAAAACAACAACGTTGGATGTTGTGTGTGACGACGAATGCTCAAGTTTTTTAAGGAGCAAAAATGGTGGATGAGAGAGAGAGAGAGACAGACAGACAGAGGGAGGGAGGGGTAAAGGACTGCTCAATTTAAGAATATAAAAACAAAAGGAAGGAACTCGCCAAGGATTATTTTAACTATTTTTTATTCTATTTTGGTTTTGTTTATGAATTTTGAGTTTAATTGCTTTTGGAACGTAATGGAAAATGAGGTAAAAATAAATATACAGGGGGAAAAAAAAAAGGAGGGAAGGCTGGTAGGGTTGACTGTTAGATATTGGCGATGAGAGAGAGAGGGAGAGCCAACTAACGTTAAAAGCAGTTGAATTTATGATTCCAACGGTTTTTTAAAAAAAATAAATAAAGAGAAAAATTTAAGGATTCTTTTGTTCGGGGCTTAGCCAGCTTATACGGCTTAACGGCTCTGCTGATAAGGCTTTGTTTGGATAGTTTGAGTTAAAAAAAATCTTTTTTCAGTTGACCCATTAACTCGCTTTTTCTAGTGGCTGTGGACTCTCTGGTTTTCCGTCTGCTTCTGCCTGCGGACCCAGTCCCAAGTCATAACTTGTGCTGGTCTTCCTTTGGATTTATTACCGTGTCATAAATTTTACACAGAATCGGAGTTTATAAATAAAAAATAATTTAAAATTGATTAATTATATCTAAATAAATATAATATTTATGTTTATCATTGGATACGTTTAACTTAGCTTTAAAATTCGTTGGCAAAAAAAAAACTTAGCTCTCATATTCAACATATATTTTGTTGTGCGCTACAAAGTATCTTCAAAATCAAGTGCATTTACGAATTAAAAATAACAGACTACATTCGATCCTTAATATAAAGCATAGATAACTAATTTTGAAATATTACAAAAATTAAGAAAAAGTAATTAAATTAATTATTTGTGACAAATATATGTTAACTTCTGTAAATTATCACATTTAATCATGTACAGTAGAGCTATCCTTTATTGGAATTCCCTATAATCAATATAAATATTTTGAAAAAATAATAAATTCGAGAGACAGACTGAAATTTTATATTGAAAACCAAATGCAATTCCAACTTGTTTTTATATTAAACATCAAATGTAGTCATGTAAAAAGGGGAAAAAAAGTTAATTATTTTGTCATTATAGTTTTGACGATTCATAACTCAGTTATTAAAATTAATGGACTCATATCCAACTCAATTCCTTAATCTCTAGTCTTTTAATGATTTGATTCCCACAATAAAGAGAGAAATAGGGGAAATAGGCCGTGAGAAATGAAGAGGGTGGAAACAATAATGTTAGATAGATGGAGTGGTTAGTTGAATTCACAAGAATGAATACACCTAACACTTATAACACAACATATTAATACTTAATATTACTGCCCCCACTGCCCCATATATAGTGCAATTAATAAGGCACTCCTATCACTCCACTAATCCAAGTTGCTGGGAGAGTTTGGTAAATCTAGTTGCACAATGTAGTTGGACATGTGTTCCTTCTTCCTTGTCATTTCTACTACTTTTTGATAAGGAGGCACACTTTGAATTTCATGTGTAATTTCGGCTTTTTTTTTTATCATAAGTCACATGTAATTTATTCTCAATATTAAAAAATATATTAAAGTGATACAATTTTTTTATTAATTTTATTTTCTCTCCAAATTTACAAATCATCCTCACATATCTCTTTTTCATCTTTTTTTTCTCTTCAGGGTAAAATTGGAAAATGATCATTAATAACCATACAAATTGCTTATATTTAAAACAAAACTTTTCTCATGTAAGTAACTTATAACAAGGAACAGAGTGGTAATATAAAAAAAAATGCATGTGGTTTTTTATATATAAATTTTAAAAAAATGATCATATGGGATTTTTTCATAAACTTTGTTAACATTATATATTTTTAATTATTTTTCATTTTAATCTTTAATTTTTAATAAAATATGTTTCATGGTTTCAGAGTGGTCGATAGAGGACCAAAAAGATGTTAATTAGATTCAAACGTTTGCACTGCTTTGAATTATTATATTTGAATTTAAAAATGAGGCTTTTCATATAAATTAATTCTTAAGGCATTTGTATAACATTTTTTTTCACCTGAATTTGTATAACATGTTTAAAACATGTGCCATCAATATATTCCCCCTTTTTTATCACGCAACATCATACCAAAGGCAAAGGCAGCTCCTATTATTTTTTTGTTTTTTTTATAAAAGAGAAACCGCTAAACATGGCATTTCTTTGTAACAATGAAGTGCCAAGAGCCGTTTAGTATGAAGAAGTGTTTTGGAAGGAAAAGGAAACTAAAGAGTAGAAATAAAAATAAAGAAGGAAATGAAAATGAAAATAAGATTTTTTTTTTTGAAAAGGGGAATAAAATTTTAAAACATACTCATCTGGTCCTTAATATAAAACCTAATTAAATAATTTAAGTAGATTGATAATATTATTTAAATTAGTAAATGATATGTTTTTTCTAAAATATTCTAATAATTTTTCTTAATTTCTTCCATTCCTCTCTCATTTGATTATTGTTGAAGGAATATCAATAAGATTAATTTGCAAAAAAATTGATAAACATACATATAAGACTAACATCAATTCTCAAATTAAATCATATATTAACAACTAGAAGAGTATTTAATATGTTTACGAATATTTGGTAAAATTGACTTGGCTCTGACGGAGTCATTTGTACTTCTGGCTATAGTTGTATAAACTCATGTCAACACTCCTCGTTATTGTTGAATTGTTTGAGGTCATTAATGGGTTCCAATTAAATTATGTTGGTCTAAAAGATTATAGGAATATAATTATTTTTTTCCTATTGTATATAAAGGCAAATTAAACTAATTTATGGGATACGGAATAAAGATCATCTCTTCCTGATCACACTTATGTTTTACCAATTATTTAGCTAAGCTTGGAGGAGACAACTTTTATATCCTTATCATTCCCTATCTATTTAGATAAAGGTGAAGTTTGATGATATTCTTCTTAAAAAAAAAAAGATATTCAACATTATTAAAAAAATTGGTAAATTTTTTTATTACTTTTTATTAATGGGTTGAGAGAGTGAGAGAAAATGAGAAGAAAAAAATTTAATTTCATATAAATTTGAAAATTCCATAGTCACCTTAGAACCCTAATTAATTTAAGCATATAAAATAGGAAAAGAATGAATTTATTTAATTCTATTTTTCATTTCCATCTGTAAAATTCCAGCACGTCAAACAGGCTCTAATGGTCTCAATCTTGCATTGAATTTTAGTTATGAATTCAGCTTCCACAAAGCTCCACCATAAAACAAAATCCAGACACATGACACGCGCTATAATCGTATAAGCCTAAATAAATGCTGAAAACTACAGGTCTCTTGCATACACAAATTATAATTAATTGCCTCCTGTCACTAAATTTATTGCAATAATTCCCCCATCTTGTGTTTATTATAAGTCATTTTTAATTAATTTATATGTATTAATAAAAACAGTTAAAAACATTAAATTTATCATAAAAATTTAATTAATTTTTATATTTTTCTTATTAATTATATCAAGTTCCATCATCATATATTATCTGTTATTCTCCCACTACCTTTATTAAATATGGGCATATACAGTTAAAAAAAAAAGTATTTAATGCTTCTTGAAGCTTAGCAAATGCCTTATAAAAAAGACAAAAAATACTGGTTAGTTAATACACCCTTTGATTTTATTTATAAGCTTTAAATTTGTGAAGGGGTGTAATCCATTTCATAAGCTTTAATTTGAATTTATCTTAAAATTTAATGCATTTTTTCAATGTTACTCTTAATTATTTTTTTCTTATCACATTTTTCCACACATTTTCTTTTATCTTTTTTCTCTTATGTTATGAGAGCATATTTGAAAACAAAAATATATTTATAACCTATTTATTATTTTTAACTAATTATTTGCTATCTGCAAATTAGTTATTTAAAGTTTATAATAAGAATCAAATAGATATCTTATAATAAGGATTAGAGTGAATAAGTTTATTGGAGATTTTTTTCCTCTAGTTGCCTGCCATCAAAATTTTAAGGGAAAATGACACAAAAATGATACTTGAACTTGAAAATACCAAAATGGTCACTTAAATTTACAAAATCCTAATTTTGTCACAAATGACCAATTTGACATTTTTAAATTTGCTGAAATGACCATATTGTCTTTTATTTTATTTATTGTTTCTTAAAAAACCAAATGCCCCCACTGGCCGGCCGGTCCCTGGAGCTCCGGTGCCAACAGCGGCCGCTAGAGCTTAGGTAGCCACCGTTACTGGAGCTCCGGCGACCACCACCAATTAGTCCCCAGAATTCTGGCGACCAGTAACAATTTTTTTTGAAAATTTTCACAACTTAAGTAAAATGGTTAACAACTTTTATAACGCTATTAATAAGTTCTATATAGCAATTATAGCAGTTAATAACATTTTCAGTTCAACAAAACTCTTTTTCATAATTTAGCAATTTTCAAAAATTCAAAAAAAATGACATTTTTATAACTTTAGTAACTATTTTTTTAAAAAAAATTTACAACTTCAGTAAAACGGTTAACAAGTTTTATAACGCTATTAACAAGTTCAGTATAGTAGTTAATAACAGGTTTTTCATAAAATCCAAAAAGTAGCATTTTCACAACTTTAGCAATGATGTTAACAAGTTTCGTAACTCTATTAACAACTTCGGTATAGCATTTAATAAAAAATTTTCTGAAAAATTAAAAAAAAACATTTTTACAACTTTAACTACTTTTTTTTTTGAAGATTTTTACAATTTCAGTAAAGCATTTAACAAGTTTTGTAACGTTATTAACAAGTTCAGTATAACAGTTAATAATAGGTTTTTCAGAAAATTTAAAAAGTAGTATTTTTACAACTTTAGTAATGCCGTTAACAAGTTCCATAACTCTATTAACAATAAATTTTCTGACAAATTCAAAAAGTGACATTTTTACAACTTTAATAACGTTGTTAACAAGTCATATAACGATATTAACAACTTTTATGATTATAATAGCTGCCTAATAAGTGAAAATTTTTTATTGTACAACTTTCATAAAAAAACTAATATAAAAAAATCAACCTTTATGAGAATTGTTAATATCATTACATAACTTGTTAACCTTTTTACTAAAGTTGTAAAATGTTATTTTTGAATTTTCAAAAAACCTATTTTAAATGCTATACCGAAGTTGTTAATAGAGTAAGACTTGTTAACGATATTATTAAAGTTGTAAAAATGCTACTTTTTGAATTTTCTGAAAAACCTATTGTTTTTTATTCAACCCCAATGATTAGATTAGCTTGGCTGAGGCTATTCTATCTTAACCACGGGCCTCATGTTCGAGACGTGGGAACACAACATCTTAGGGGCCAGGAGCTGCTATACTGAACTTGTTAATAATGTTGTAAGAAGTTGTTAACTATTTTACTAAAGTTGTAAACACTTTTAAAAAAAAAACAGTTGCTAAAGTTGTAAAAATGCCATTTTTTTGAATTTTTTAAAAAACCAGTTGTTAATAGAGTTACATAACTTGTTAACGGCATTATTAAAGTTGTAAAAAATGCTATTTTTTGAATTCTCTGAAAAACCTGTTGTTAACTACTGTATTGAACTTGTTAATAACATTATAAAAATTGTTAATCGTTTTTATTGAAACTGTAAAAATTTTCAAAAAAATTGTTGCCAGCCGCCGAAGCTCTAGTGACGGCAGCCACCTGAGCTCCAGTGGCCGCCACTGACACTAGAGCTCCAGCAATCGCCGGCTAGTGGGGACATTTGGTTTTTTTTAAAAATTAAATAAAATAAAAGGTAATACGGTCATTTCAGCAAATTTATAAATATCAAATTGGTCACTTGTGACTAAATTAGAATTTTGCAAATTCAAGTGACTATTTTGACATTTTCAAGTTCAAGTGTCACTTTTCCAAATTTCAATCACCTCCAGTTTCAAATATTTACGCATTGACAAGACACTTTTAATATGTCTGCAAAAGTAAAAATATCTTAAATTCTTTTAATTCTATCTTAAAATTTGATAACCTTTTTATTTTATCTCTATTTAATATGAATATTTAAAAAACCATTTATTGAATAATAAAATCTTAGTAAAATTGTACTTTATATAATAAAGTTAATGAGACAATTTATATTAAAGATAAAAGAAATCAAATGAGTCATTAGTTTGAGACCGTTAAGCTAATTAGTTTTGTAAAAAGCATACCACTTTGCTTCTTATTATTTGTTACTTGTAATGAGAAATTTTAGTCCTTTTTATCTATCACTTATATCTTTTTTAATGTTTTATTTTCAATTCTTCCCTACTAATTATAGAAAAGGTAAAAAGAAAAAATGTGTGAGAAAAAAATATATTATTATTTTATCACTTTTTTTTCTCAATATCCACATCTCTTTAACAACGGTAAAAGTAAAAGATTTTATTTATGCAATACTCTTCTTGGTATGTCATGAACTCCTACAAGTAACAAATAATAAAGACCAGAGTAGTACTCACTCCGATCCTATTTAAAAACTTTAAATTTGAAGAGAAGTGTAATTCGTTTTATAAGTTTCAATTTGGAGTTTTTATAAATATTTAATGCATATTTTTCAGTTTTCCTTAATTATTTATTCTCTTGCCTTTGTCATATTTTCTTATCACATTTTTCCATACATTCTCTTTTATCCTTTTTCTCACTTATTATAAAGGTGTATTTAAAAACAAAACTATATTTTAATATTTATTGTTTTAACTAATTTTAACTAATTGTTCGTTGTTTATGAATTAATTATTTGAAGTTTATAATAAGGACCAGAAGGAATATTTCATTATTTCTTTAGATTTGCCTTTAATAAATACCAGGATATAGGCAAATTTAAAACAAAGGTTTTGTTGTCCCAAATATAAGAAAAAATGAGTATATTTTCATTTAATTACCATATACTCATTTGATTCTATGTATAAGTAATTTTTAACATGTTTGGCACATATAAAAAAATTAAATTTCATTTACTCTCATTTAAAATTTAACAACTTTTCAATTTTATCTCTATTTAATATACATTATACCATATATAATAACAAAGTCAGTATAATAATAAATAAGAGGTAAAATTATACATTTATATGAAAAGAAAGATGTGTAAACGTAAGTCACTTATAGGAAAAAGTCTTGATTCTAAATGTGTGTCACTTAGGATATATTTAATGCTTTGATTCGATTTTATCCTTATTTAGATTAAAAAAACTTCAATAATAATAATGATAATAAATTTTTTTGTTAATTTAATATATTTTTAATTATGTGAGAATATGATTACAATTTATAGGTGACTTAATTATATGGTATTAAAGACATTCTTCTTAATTTGCCTTTTATCGAACACTAGTTGTTGCGTCGGACAGTTCTATAATAAATGAGTATATCATCATTTAATGAGTAAACATAATAGCACCAAGAATATTTTAAGCGAAAAAAATCAAATTACTAACACAGTTACGATAAATAATCACTTTTATATGAGACTTGAAGGAGTACTTTATTTAATGAAAATCATTTTAATTTAAAAAAATATTTAATGACCCAAAGAAATAATAAAAACTTTCATGAATGTCCAAAGTTATTTTTAACAAAATATCCAATGTTAAAAACTAAAATATTTTATTAATATTTGAGTATAACTTTTTTTTTAATACAATTTGCGTGCACAACTTTAATTATCTTTTTTGCTATGCATATGTATCCTCCTATTAGAAACAATCTTATTTAAGGCATTGTCAGCTACTAAATATCAGTACCTCTCCTAATAAAAATTTGTTCTTTAATTCGTCACTTTGTATGGAACTAACCTCTTATGTTAAACGTAATCCTGTTGGTTGTGCGTAACTCTAATTATTGTTTATGAGTATTTGGTATTTAGTAGAGTGCTAGTAGCGTGCAGTTTCCTTTTTATAAGAAATAACTACTCCTCCGATCCTTAATATAATACTTATTTAACTAATTTGATTAGATTAAAGAAGTTAATTATAAAAAATGTAACACATTTTTCTTAAAATACTATAATCATCTTTCTTAATACCCTATCTTCCTCTTCTACTTGATTATGATTGAGGGAGTATCCA